TAACTCTGTTTCCCATCGTGTTGCCAAATTAATCAATATATTAGCCAATTGGTGTGTAACTATACCTTCCTCTGAAACCCATCATTCAAAAAATGCTTTCTGTCATTCAATCTTAGATTCATATATAATAGGAAATTGCCATTTGATTGATGAATTATATCGCTAGACTTGAATTAATCCATTCTAACTTCCCTGAGTCCTCGGTTAGACCTGTTAACCTCTCGTCGAAGGTACCAGGCAGTGGACTCTAGGGAGGGGAGTTAGAAAAAAGCGAACAACTGGATTACCAGCTCTTAAGAACTGGGCCCACTTGCTCGCTAATTAAATTAACAGTCATTATTTCGCATCCGCCCACTGTCAGTTGTATACCCTTGTAAGTATAAGCTTGCATTATATCTCTGGTTCTCATGTTAAAGAATAAAGATCTTAAATTTAAAAAAAAAGAGTGATTGCACTATTTAAGTCTCGTTTTTTTTCGCTTTAAATTTGCCTCTTGACCTAAATTAATTATTGAACTTTTTGATGTCATATGATGTGATTCCTTTACGGGGCAACCTTCAACAAGCCTCTCGTTGGCTTTCTGGTTGTCCTATCATGAGTTATCTTTGAATTTTTGCATATTATGTTATGATAATTTGATTACTCATGATGAATATTTAAATAAATAAATAAATAACAAGGGACTGTCATCTTCAGATCTAAAAAGAGAAGGGATACAAAATAAATTTGATCAATGGCAGTTCTAAAAATTGGAACTTATCTGTTTCTTGAGAGACGCGTAGGTACGTTGTAAACAGTCAAAGCCGAAAAAAACTGAAATAAAAAAATTGGGGAACTTCGTATGACTTGTCATAAAAGCAAGAACAGTAACCCAAAACCGCCTGTTAAAAATTTAATTTAAAATTCGTACTTCAATTATCGTTATTCTGGACGAAAACCCTCTAAAGACTATAAGAGTCTAAAAATCACAAAATTAAACACCGAGCGATGTATTTCGACACTGAAAAACTTTGTCAACATTTTGATGCAGTTCGAAATAACATTTCAAATGTACTCGTTGACTCCTTCTGATCTTCATTTGAGGCACCCAATTTTGCGAGGAAAAAACGACAGCTGACTTTGAAGTCCATCAAATAACACAAAAATTGGTGATCGGATAATAAAAATGAAATTACATACTCGAGCAAAATTTTAAAGATAGACAAAACTAGAATAACTGGAAATGTGTGATTGATTTAATGAACGGTGATAATTCTAGAGACAATTAACTCCTGATTTCATTAACCAAATGACACAATGAGATCATTAAATTTGAAGTAATTTTCATAGTCGAGTGCCGCTATAAAATCAACCTACTTCAAGAAAGTAGTTGAATTGATAAATCGTGCAAAATTATGCATTTCAAATCAACAGGTGCAACACAAGTATGCATCAAAAAGTATGCATCAACTCAAGGGTGCGGTCATCGGAATCTCCTTTCTTAAAAAACATGAAGGCCTGTTTTGTGATCTGTAACGATATGCATTTCCTTTTCTTGATCTACTGTGCTGATTTAAACAAACCAGAACAATGAAAAGAAATGGAATTTTGAAAAAAAATTTCTTTAATTGGGTGGATATAAGCCAAAATATTGCTTCGAATTTACCAGAATTAATACGGTGCATTATATTGTGCGCAATTCGGACCAGTAGCTTTATCCTACGAATGGATCATTTTCGTCTCTTTTTAGTCAACCAAAAAAATACGCTAAGACTACTGGTCAATCGCGGAACCAATTGAATCAAAATGAGCTTCTTATGCTGCCTAACAAAGGTTTCAGAAAGTTCATAACAAACTTTTGATAAGACGCTTCGCTCAACATCGCAAAACAAAAAATCTGAAACCTCTGAGAAAACATTGAGCCTCAGTTTTGATGAGAAAACAAAAAAAAAACAAAAAAAGTTGCCAAGCAAACATATTTCAACTAAACTCGAAACACTTCTAAACAAAAAGGTGAAGCGGAGCTTTGCAACACTTGCAATTCATCACAATATAGCATTGCAAGCTAGCAGACAGAATCTGAGATTGAAACCACTACGCTGAAAAAATTCATTAAAAACAAAGTCGAAAAAAAACTAAAGCTACAAAAATTTCATAAATTTGTCTCACATGATGCTCATTTAGAGGAAAACCTGGCAAGAAACTCCTTCACCAGCAATATAATCAGCCAAAAACATTTGGAGAAGTATAATTTTGAACAATAAAACTTTCAAAGTTTTTTCGCCCACGTTCCTCCTGAAACACACGAAGCAGAAAAGTCTGATTGTTGACCTTAAAATAAGCCGATTCCGCATAAATTGAACCCCTATAGCAAAAAAAAAATTTAAAAAATCATTCAAGGAAATCTAAGTTGGTCAAGTTAAAATATAACGAAAGATTTCCAATTAAAGTTATTAAAACTGCTAAAAAATTCATGCTTTGGAAAATAAACCAACAAAAAAAGTACAAAAAGTACAAAAAAAGTACAAAATAAACCAACAAAAGAACAGAAACAAAGGTCCGGCCGGGTCTAGAACCCTAGACCCTATGTTACATGGTCGTGGATATAAGAAAGGTGATTTACGTGAAAAGAAGTCCGACTACTGAACTACAAGTACTTTTGCTCTCGCAGGTGAAATCATTTTCATCTGCTAAAGCCAAGCTATATATTTCAACTAAACTCATTACACAGCCTTAACTTTGAGCCTCAATTCTGGTTTTGCATCTTTTCAATTAAAAAACTTTGAGCCTCATCTGAAAACTATCGTTTTTTTATTTGAAAAAATTTCATGGATATAAAGTGTCGATTTTTTTTAAACATCTTGTATATACTTTTTAAAATAGTAAACACAGCCAACAGACAGCTGGAAAAGAGTTGATGAACACAAGGAGACAGAAAAATGTTTGGCTTGTTTTTTGAAAAATTCTCAACTCCCAAATTGTTAGATGAAAATAGATCTTTGAATTTCAAAAACAAGATTGAGGCTGCTTTGATTAATTTAACCCTGGATCGAAAACTAAATTTTTTTATTTTGCTGCGATATCCGAAAAGTTTCCAACCGCGTAAAATCAAAATTGAGCATGAACAAATTTTAGGAGTTTTTCCTGAAAAAAAGACAAAAAAATCACCCAGACCTATATAAGAGTACTCATAACGTTGATTACTCTTAATAAATCTATGTATGTGAAAAGAAAAAATAATAATCAAAAAAATTCCATCAAAAAATTGAAAATACGAACATACGTTGTAAACTTACGAACATAATTGTCAAAATTGAATCTATTTCAATTTGAAATGTATATAAATAAATGATAGAAAAAACATTAGGGAAATAAGCCGACAGCATTAAGGCCGACACCCAAAAAACTGAAAAAAGAACAAAACATTTTCGAAAAAGACAATTACAAGAATTGCAGGGACCACTTAAAAATCAAATACAATCTCCAAATAAGTAGTAGATTAAGATATAGGTAGTACATTAAAAGGAGCTTAGAAATGGTAAATTACTAAACTGACCTTTCTGTGAAAAAAAATATTAACGGGAAAAAAGTCTAGTACCAGGTTGCAATACCCTTGAGTAAGAAAAAACACCATTTTGTTTCTGGCAACATTTTCAGCAATTTTTGTACTATAAAATAAGTTTAAAAAACAACAAGTAAATTCTAGATGTTTTCCAGTCTAGGGTTATCTGGATTCAATTTTGACCTTGATCAAGCATTGAAATATTAGAAATGATGTTTTTATAAATAAAAATACTTCGAACAATAAAATTTGCGTTGAAAAGCATAAAATTGAACGGTGCATAAACAAAACAGTCCCATACAAAACAGTCCAAAAAATCATGAAACAATTCAAAACAGTCCGATGCAAAACAGTCCGGTTTAAGACCGCCGGTGAAGGCTTGGCGCTGCTTCTCGGCGATAACCAGCTCTAATTCACGAACAGAGTCCTACTCTCTGCTGGCAAGCTCGCAAAACGGCCCGACTGCGGCGGTCAATATTCTGTGGCTTATGTTGCTTGAACCAAGGACAACTCTCCCCTACCGATTGTTTAAAATAACTATCACTTGGGACCGTTTTTCGGACTTTTTTTATCGGACCATTTTTTGTTCATCTGTAATCTTATGACTGTTTCTTATGGGGCGGTTTTGTACAGACACGAAATTGCACAAATGCGGGCAATGGAACTACCGATCAATTTATCAATGACCAATCGCACTTTCATATGTGCCACCGAATGGTAACCAATTTTTGGGATACCGGTCGAAAAAAAAATGTTCAATGAGCAGAACGAAAAAAATGGAGCAGAACGAGATATGAAAAAAGGCAATTAATTAAAACTCAAATAGTTCGCACATTTCGCCGGCATTATTTTTGGGCAATGCATTAGTAATCAAGCGACCATGCCTTAGCGGTTTGCGGCTCAATCGTGTCTGCTAATTGTAGCTTCGGTTAAGTTGGTTGTTTGTTCTGCTCACGGACAATTCTAACCATTCAGATTTCAGATATTAGAAACTGTTCCACTGCAAACAATATCACACAATTATTTTCCCAATAAGAATATCGATCATTCGAAATCGGTATCAGTGTCCAATTAAGCGTTCACAAACTGTCTTGACTGCACTCAAAATATTTAGTGCACTAAGATGGAAGCTCTTCCAGTGTTCAAAACACAGGCACATTAGAGATTTAATTCAATGGTGACGAGGATATGTTACACTACCTGATTTTGAATAGAAAAATTAGCTGTACAAACTGAAGGCTACATAACCAAATTTAAGTAGTTTCGAGCAGGGGCGGATCTAGGATTTTCTCGAGGGGGCGAATTTCCAAAAAAAAATGTCTAAAATGGTGTCTACTTTTTCGTAGGTCTACCAAATTGATTTTCCGAGCGCTACCAGAAAACTAAAAAAAGTGTATTTTGACGAGAATTTGCGCGCTGCTGTCAAAACTTTGTAAAAAAACAGGTTCTTTTTGGACGCTTTTTGGAAATTAGTTGTCCCCCTTCAAAATTAGCCTATATTGGCGCTTAAAGCGCCTTTAGAAAAAATTTAGTTGGTCGACCAAAATGGACGTCATAAAATAATACCAGATTGGTGAGGGGGTCAATTCCGCCCCTGGTTGCGAGTGAGGTTTAGGTTAAAGTAAATGATCCGAGATTATTTTTCTGCCAAATAAGAATTCGTTTTTCTTTAGAAATTTTTTTGCTTGATCTGTTCTATCGAACAATGTACTGTACAGATAGAAAAGTTTGTAAAAACAAAGCGCTTCTAAAAAAATTGTTACAAAAATCTAGCTCTGAGCACTCTTCTGAGTATCTTGCCACTGGCTGTTTTCGGAATTTGGTCCACAAAAGTGACCCCACCGGCTAATTGTTTGTAAGGCGCCACCTTCTGACCCACAAATGCCTTCAGTTCCTGCTCCGAGGGGAGACGACTAGCTCCTCCCCCTGGTTTCAGCACCACACAAGCGGAGGGCGCTTCTCCGAGGGAGTCGTGGGGTGTGCCGAACACACAGCAGTCCTGCACAGCGGGGTGAGTCAACAGAATTCCCTCCAGTTCCGCCGGTGCAACCTGCAGAAGATCAAAGTAGTTACACATACTACAGTTACAAGAGCTGAAGAGAGCTTAAATGAGTAACAAGTGGTAAAATTTCAAAATACTGAAGTAAATTTTCATCCATATATTTCATTTTTGCAGCAAATTCTATTTTTGAAGTGCCGTGCCGAAAGCAACTTGTTTTTTGCATATCGGAAAACCTGTAACCTGAAGGAAACCTTCATACGCGAAAACTCAACCAATTTAAAAATAAAGAAAACGTCGACCAATCAGAGCTCAGTGTTCAAAAATTAGTCAATTTTGGACAGATGAAAAGCCGGTGATTGGTTGATAATTTCCAGTCCTTCGCGCATGAGAATAGACCCCCCCCCCTTTACTATACATTGATGAGGTCGTTCTTTGTACTGACCTGGAATCCTTTGGTCTTGATGAGCTCTTTCAGTCTGTCCGTAATTGTCATTTGCTTCTTCTCATTGACCTTCGCTATGTCACCTGAAACAACTTTTGATCAGGCGCTGCTCCTGTTGAAAATGAGATAAAACATAGTAATGTCAAATTTTTGCAAATACCGTTAACCCAAACTTTTTCGCAGTTTTCCAAAAATAATTCTTATTGCAGCGCAGTTTTTCAGTCTTGCAGTCAAAACCAAGCTGCAAAACAATCTTTTATGTCAATCATCAAGCATCTTCTATTTTGAAACACTGAAACACATGCATCTTCTCTTTTGTAGGGAAACTTTGAATTATTTTACACCAATTTAAATGACAACAGGCGTTTAAACTAAGCAAAACAGCTGAAAAATATTGAACAAAGTAGTTGCAATAATAGAGGTCTTACTTGGCATTCGTCAGTTAGCTATAAAAAACGAAAACTTATAAACACAACGCATATAAGAGAGTTTTAATAGGTAACTTTAGAGCTTGTGAGAGTTAGTTTGTAAGATCATTTTAAAATGAAATTTTGCTCGTCTATTTTTAACTAGCGCTATATTCAATCCATTTTGCCAAATCATTAAGTTAAATAAAAAGATTTAGCTTCTCCGATGCGAATTAAACAATGGTAATTCAATAATTTAACTTTAGACAGGTCGGAGACTGGATAAGAGACACGATAGATGCCATCAACTTGAGAATCGCACCAAAAAATGAAGAAGGATGAACAAATAAGAGCTAACTTCGACGGGTGATTTGATATAGACATCTGTCATTCACCTGTCAGGAGCCATCCCTCAGTGTCGATGGTATTCCTTGTGGCCTCTTCATTCTTGAAGTAGCCCTTCATGACTTGTGGACCCTTCACACACAACTCCCCCTCCTGGCCCCAGGGAACCACCTCTCTACTGCTCAGATCCACTATCTTCACCTGCACAATCAGATCCATCGTTTCAACTACACGCAAAATAAGATAGGCCCTTTGTTGAAAAAAACATCTGATTAATCAAAAAGCATCGTCAAAATGAAAAAAAAAAGATAGCCGGTTACTGTCCAAGTAGCACAGAATGTTCCGACCATGTCTTTAAAAAACACAAATGAGAAGTTTTTTTTCAAGAGTAGTTTTTTATGCGTGGTGTGATAAAAAGGATCTGACGTCGGCCTATTCGACAGTCATAGTAAATTAGGCAAATTGGACAAGTTTTTGAAGAACAATAACAAAAAAAATCAAAAACAAAAAATTCATTATCAAAAACTTTTTCAATTTTTTTTGCAGAGAAAACCAGCAGTTTTTGATTCCCAAAACGGTGCTAAAAATCTTCAAAAACTAGTTTTTTTTGCGTAAAATTAAGCATAAATAAGCTGTTGTAAGCATGTTCGCTCGCTTTATTCGTTCGAAACTGAAATACAGATCAAAAATTTTAAACAGTTTTTCTCAATACTGAGGAAAATTAAAAAAAGAAAAGACTAAAAGCCACCCGAATACTAAGTTCTTCCCCATTTTTCAAATGGTCCGAAGAATAATCTAACAATTATGCAACTCAACGTAAGATCACTATAAAAAACGGCTGGAGATTTCAAAGCACTTATCTATTATCTTGATCCTCACGTAAATGTCATATGCTTAATGGAATTAGGCTAATAAAACTGGATAATCCTTCAAGCTTTATGAAATACAATAAGAAAAAGTATCATTGAGTCTCAATTAGCAAAAACTCGGCAACGTCTGAGCTTGCAACATGAGACCTTAAGATTAAGAGTCATACACACTAACCACTCAAGCTTTTTATTTAGTCAAAATAAAATAGAAGATTAAACACTAGCCACAAAAAAGCAGAGAACAGATGCTATTCAATTTCCAATGCTACATTGAAACTTTTAAATTAGTGACTACTTTTAATGAACACTTTTATTTGAGTTAGGTTACAAAAAAAGAAGGTTCATAATAACACACTAATCTGACGCAAGGGTGTAAACAATCAGATAGCAGAGAAAAAAACTGAGGCGGAGTCATAATTCAAGTTAGGGATTATTTTAATCTATTAAAAAGCATAGAAAACCATTACAATTTACCAAACTAACAAAACTGATTTTCTTGAGATTTCGCGAGAATACACCTCATTTTGTTTGATGGGATAAGAACATCGATAGTTGCAACGATAACCTAATAAGCTCCAACTATCGCAATATTGTCCACTCTCATGGTTTTGAGCCGACCAGTTCACTTTTTTGAATTAACACTTAAATGCGAAGTTCATGCGTCAATAACCTGAAATGCTCTAACAAAACGGGTACGGTTAAACCATATGTAATTAAGGAACGAACTTTGTACAATACTTTGCACCAAAAATTACTACCTGGAAAAAATGGACTGATCGTATAAATAAATTTCGCAAACTCGCGTGTCTACAGAAGTAAAAATTGCTTAACCACAAAAAAAGGCAGTGCTGTGACTTTTGTTATTCAAATGCGAAAGTAGAAAAATTAGCCAGCTCCGAAAATGAATTCAAATGCGTTCTTCAAAAGTCAAAATCCCAAAAGCAATTAGTTTTATTTTTAAATAACACACGCTAAAAACCACACAATCACCTTTGGCGATACTAAGCCAGAGCATTTAACCTTTCACAATCTTACTTGCCATGGTAGTAAAGAGCACGTGCAAAAAAAACCTGAGTGAAGGGAATAGGATCCCCGATTGAGGCGAAACAGTCCAGGTCATTGGCCTTGTATCTACCAGCAGTTCCCACTGGACTCAGTTCTGTCATGCCCCATGCCTGTCTAATAGCGAAGTCCCTGAGGCCCTGAGATTGAAGCGACTCGAAAGCCTGAGAGGCAACGTCGGCGGCTAAGGGTGCGGCCGCTGAGACTACATCCTATAATAAATAACAGCACAAAACTGGTTCTTGTCCTTTTTATTTAAAAACATAGATGCCAAAGTATTCTCACATCATAAAAAATTCCCAGTACTTCGACCTGTAATTTATAATTTTCTCTCCTAAAAATCAATTTCAGGGCATCATGCGTCAATAGAACATCCCGAAATTTATTTAATGTTAAGAAAATCTGACCGAAATAATGTTGACACAAATATAGGGCGCACTTCCTAAATCAAACACCCCTGAAAAGAATGAAAATGACAACTCACGATAAGAGACGTCAAGTCATACTCCTTGACTCTTGGATCTTTGCCCAAAAATAAAGCTAATGGTGGCACTATGTACACGTGGGAGCATCTATATTTCTGGATCGACAGCAGAAAATTGACCGGGTTGAATTCCGGCAGCAAAACTACATTAGCTCCATTCATCGGGGCCGCCAGAGCAAAACAGAACAACCCGTATATGTGGTACATAGGCAAGACTGCAAGCAACGTGTGGTGCGATCTCAAGCCGAACACTGGATCGTATTTGACGAACTGCCAAATATTGGCCAGCATGTTGTAGTGTGTGAGTGCAACTCCTTTTGGGAGTCCGGTAGTTCCGGAGGAAAACGGTAGGAGCCAGACATCGCTCTTGGGGTCCAGAGATGTCTCGGCTTCCATCAAACTACCATTATCTGTCCGCAGTAGATGTTCGAATGGTTTCGTTTCTATTCCCTGGATTGTGGCAGGAACCGTTGAATTGTAGTTCAGGACATAAATATCTTTCAGATCGAGATTTCGCTTCTCTTCGACCGCCAACTTCAAAGCATCTTCTAGAGATCCAATTTGATCACTCCCAACAATAACTGCATTGGAGTCACTGAAAGTATTATTTTCCTTCATTCAAACTAACAAATATTTTTCTGATGGCGTGGCGTATAAAAATCTCAACTCAAACTGATTTAAAAACTACAAGAAGTATAGTAAGTATAACAAACTTTTCGAATTATCCGTCTAAAAAACTGCCACAGAATTTTTGGAAACGCCGTTCTATGAAAATGCCAGAAAAGAGACCTGAAATCCAGTTGGTAGAGAAGCTCGTGGCCAGTGTATGCTGGGTTGGCCGGTGAGATGGTAACATGGGACAGAGATCCAGCCAAGAGTGCCACGATAAAGTTGTGACAATTCTTACTCATCAAGCAAATCGTGTCTCCTACACAAAACAACTTCTTTACCTTTTTAATTAAAAGTAGCAACGGTGTTTGCATAACGAGGGCGGTTTTCTTGCTATTTGATTTCAGCAATCTCTACAATAACCTCTCTGATACTTTATTTTAGAGCCTTGTCTCATTGAGCAAATTCTCAATTACACATTAAAGTTTTAAATAACCTTCTACCGTCAGCACCCCACTTCAAACTCTTGAATTTATCATTTTTAGCTGAACGTTTTGATTAAAAAAACCTTTAGTCAGCTTTTTGACGGCCCTTTTTTAGGTCGACCAAATTGATTTTCCGAGCGAGCTCTCCTAAAGCACTAAAAAGACGCTGTTTTGGCAAAATTGTCAGCGCCGTTTTTGGGCATTTAAGGGGGAGAAGTATTACTACTATTTTTGAAGTGGAGCGCCCGCCGAAAAAACGCAATTTTTTGGTCAAAATTTAACAAAAAAAGTGCCCCATGTCGACAAAAAGTTCGAAATTTTTTTTTTTGAAAAACCGCCCCACCCCCCCTCGTGAACAGCAATGAGATGAGGGCAAATACTTTTTCCCTAGGCATGCTACTGGAAACAATCCACAGTAACTTCAACCGATTCAAGACACAATTCAAACTAACGGCTTCCGCTTGGTTGTCTGGATTAATCGCTAACGCAAAGAAAATTTTACCAAGTCAGCTCACCGTGCGAAAATCTTAGATCATTGCCTTTTGTTTTTTAAGGGTGTAATTTTTTTACTGGACACCATGGCGGGGGAATTATTGTTAAGCAGATCACAGCATATTTGTATCTGAACCTAGAAAGTTGATCATATCCGCACCTTTTTTGTAGCCTTTCTTGAGCAAATTAGAGCTGCACACTCTAATATGTGAAGCCATTTCCGCAAAATGAAGCTTTTCTTCTGAGACGCCATCTACAATGAAACTGGCGGGATATTTGTCTATCTCTTCCAAGTAGAAATCAGCAAACGACCTGGTTCCTGGCTCTGGAATCGGAACCAATTCTTTCAGATCCGTGCATTCGAAAAATGACATCGTGAAGAAAGTTTATTTTTATGGTTCGGAAAATTGAAGCTCTGAAAACTCTGAGGGAAATTTGTTCCGTTTGCTTTCCAGAGTTTCTCAGACTGCCGGTAAAAGTACGTAATGAAAAGGACAATGAATGATTTCAATCAGGTCTCTATTAGTCGTCTGGGCTTCTTCAATACTTCAAAAAGACGATAATTGTCGTAGACCGAAATTTGTATAAATGATGTTAGCTTGCTTCGTCCACAGATAACGTGATACTCGTACAAAAAATATATTTACAAAATCTACTCTGAAAAAAAAAATTTCAGAGAAGAAGAGCCGTAACTTGCATCCATAATTGAATTCACAAAAACATTTAAAAGCTCACAATCTTGAGTCACGCATCTGTGCGTGAATAATTGAATAGAAAAAAAATATATATATATATATTTAATTTTGAGTTCGAAATCTATTTCATGACATCCAATAAAAAACAAAACACTGAACTAAATATCATAAACTCAACTATGAAAGACATTTTCTAAATACATCAGAAAATACATTAAACAATTTATTCAAGTAAATCTAGCTCTGAGCACTCTTCTGAGGATCTTGCCACTGGCTGTTTTCGGAACTTGGTCCACAAAAGTGACCCCACCGGCTAATTGTTTGTAAGGCGCCACCTTCTGACCCACAAATGCCTTCAGTTCCTGCTCCGAGGGGAGACGACTAGCTCCTCCCCCTGGTTTCAGCACCACACAAGCGGAGGGCGCTTCTCCGAGGGAGTCGTGGGGTCTGCCGAACACACAGCAGTCCTGCACAGCGGGATGAGTCAACAGAATTCCCTCCAGCTCAGCCGGAGCCACTTGAAATCCCTTGGTCTTGATTAGCTCCTTCAGTCTATCCGTGATGAGAATTTGGGAGTTGTGGATTTTAGCTATATCGCCTGAACACAAAAAAAAACAATTATATTAGTTGCCACCTTCCATATGAAACTTAATAATGCAGAGATTTATGTCACCCCTTTAGACAATGTTACCTTATTTTTTGTTGAAATGTAATAAGTTTTGTAGGTCATGAACATTTAATAATGCAGAGAACAATCACTGGAAACTATTCAATGTTCACGACCTACAAAACTTAATACATTTCAAAAAAAAATAAGGTAACATTGTCTAAAAGGGTGACAAAGATCATTCCGAAATGAAAAACAGCACTTTTTGAGCCCTTGAAAAATCACTAAATCAAACCCCACGGCTGTTTTCAAGCAACTTTCAATAACTGTGCCCAATAGAGCAACTTGAAGGCATCAAAAATTTACAACTTTACACTTATTTTATTGGTACAGTCCAGAACTGTAAAGGAAATAGGAATTCTATTCTACTCAGCTGTAATTCGCTATTGGGTTTTGCACAAAAGCAAAGCGGAAGTTCGCACCACTGGAAATACAGACCAATTATATCATGGCAAGCTAGTCGACTGAAAATGAGGCAAAACCACTAATTTGCTGGTTATGTTAGAAAAAAAGAAGGTTCGTAATAATACACTACGCTGATTGTTAGTGTAAAAAATGAACTGCAAAAGAGGTCGCTAGCAAACCGCAAACATAGCGAAGTGAAAAGAGTAATTAACGCATGGAAACTGAATAAAAACTTGTTTTCGAAGAACCTTCAACTTGAATTTCGAAGAAAAAAACATATGGCTTCAAAGCTTTTTGAACTTGTAGAACAATCACCCAAATTTTTTACACAGAGGCGAAGTTGCACTTCGCATACACGGGCAAAAATATGACCGATAACGCTACTGGGAAAAACTGAATGACTAGAACTTTGAGTCTACAAAATTTCTTAAGTGTTGCACGCCAATTATGAGTCTACATAATTGCTAAAGGACACAAGTTACTTATGACAAAGCAAGTCAATTTGGAAAAAAAATTACCAACTAACATGCCTTTATTTATAGAGCGGACACATTTTAATTAGTATACAAAAAAATTCATTAAAAGCATCCGACCCGGCCCAGGTTCGAACCCTTTGATTTTGTTGCGGGTCTCCTTCCCTACCTCTACGCTACAGATCCCTGATACCTTGACGCTAAAGTTTTATTTGTAATCCAATAGTCTGTGTTAATATCCTTAGCATTGGCTGTACTGGTTATTGATCAAAATGAAAACTTTCAAAATGAACGCATTTTGTCGCAACAATATTTGCGGCTTAGGTTGGAAAAAAAAGAGTTCATACTATAGCACAAGCTTTGCTTGTGTATATAGTCATGTTTTGTCTCCAGATATTTTGTAGAACTAACTAAATAAACGCTGGATCAATTGTGTTAAACGAGACCTGCATACTTTACGCCTCAAATACAAATGGCATAGAAAAACGTGTTATCCTTCATTTACAAGGAGGCGAAGTTGCACTTCGCATACAAAAGCAAAAATATGACCGATAACGCTACTAGTTAAAAACTGAATGAATAAAACTTTGAGTCTAAATAGTTGCTAAGTGAAGGAAGCCAATTATGACGCATTAGCAGCACCATTCAATTTTAAAAAAAGAAATTTCCCAATTAACATGTTTCAATTTATAGAGCTGACGCATTTTAACTAGTAGACGAAAAAGTTCATTAAAAACATCCGACCCTTCCCAGGTTCGAACTCTCTTATTTTGCTGCTGGTCTCATTTGAACCATTGCTTACGCGCTTTCCGGATGTCCAACCCCGCCACAACGGGAAAACGGACAATGAACGCATTAGTAGTAGTTGCATGAAATAAATGGCATTTTCCCGTTCAATTGATGAAATAAAAAAACAGCTGTGTCACCTTATCACTTATGAAATTTCAAGGCACTTGGGATTATACTGCTTATATAGCCTACGGATTCAAAATGACTTCAAACTAGAGCTTTTAATTACGATTTAGGTACGGAAAAAAAGTTGCATCGTACAATCACATTACGCTACGTTCGTCTAAACAGCATGTGAAATGACACTAACCTGTGTGAAGCCATCCGTCTGAGTCAATTGTAATTCTAGTGGCCTCCTCATTCTTGAAGTACTCCTTCATCACCTTCAAAAGTAATTCTATCAATAAAAATCTTAAATTTGCATCATGGCTCTAGAACAAAAACCATAATATATTCCTATACCATCTACATTTTAACGAGTGTGCATAAATCAAGTTCAATTTAAAACAGTATACACTTACTAATCTAGCCAGCTATTATATCTTGACCATAATTCGCCTGAACAGCAAACACTGCAATATACTCGGCATTACTTAATTCGTGGGGAGTCGAAAATAACCGAGGAAGGGAGAGGGAGTTGGACATTTACTGGGCAAAAAAAGCGTTTTTCGATGCATGGGTTCCAAGTTATCCAAAATCGACCTAGAAAACAGTAAAATTGGCATACATTATAGCACTTTTATGCCAATTGCATTGTTTTGAGTTGGAACTCCAGCAACAAACATTCTATTTTTTTTAAATTGGAGCACAGGAACATTTTTTTTAAACTAGAGTCCTCAAAAAAAGATCCAACTTGCTCAAAATTTGGGTATAAAATCAAACAAACTCCAGTGGGAACCCTTTAAACCCGCCTAAATTTTGGAGGGGTCGATATTTTAGGATTGTGGGTTCTTTAAAGAAAAAAAGTGTTGCGGCGGCGGCGGAGAGGGGGGGGGTTTGGTCCGGCAATTAAGTATCACTGGAATAATGAGATGGAATAATTTCATATGCTTTATTTTAATTGCTCTTGTTACTTGAGGTCCTCGAACACATATCTCTCCCTCCCTCCCCAAATCCACCACTTCGTTAGTATTCAGATCCACTATTTTGAACTCGGTCAAAGCCACCGGGTCCCCGATAGATGCGAGTAACTTCTCCGAGTCCGTTTCGTCCAGTCGGCCGACGGAGCCGAGAGGACTGAGTTCGGTCATGCCCCATCCTTGTCGAACAATGGCGTCTTTTGCCCCCCAATCGCGTAAACTGTCCCGCAATTCAGAAGCAGTCGCAAGTGCTAGTGGCGCCGCAGCGCATAACACGTCCTGAAAATAACAATAATTGGATCTATTTTACAACCTTTCCACCCCCCCCCCTTCAAGAAAGGGGGTTATTGTTAAGTAGATCAAAATGGTAGATTTTTCGACGAATCAGAACGCAGCAAAATTAAAATTCTCAATAGAAAGCTCAGTGCTATTTTGTGTTTATTTATAGGGATGGAGATTCGTAAGTAGGTACCATAGGGGGGGGGGGGGGGGGGGGGAGATTGTTAATTAGATACCAATAACTTACCATTTCCCTATATTCTCAGTGATTTAGACATTTTCGGATAAGATTATTTAACCTCAAATGTCTTTTTCATTCAAACTTCAACGCAATCAGGTTTCAGTAGCATCTTGCCTCAATTTGTGTTATATTGTGGACTAAAAAGTAAGGCATAAGATGCAGATGTACCGTTTAGCTTTTGAATCATTGGAAACAAATTACAAATCGTGTTGCGTTATGCAAAAAATCTACTCGCCCACATCTTGAATAAAGTACTTTTATGCACATAAGCCTTTAAGTCACCTGGATGTTAGTTAAATCATACTGCTTCACTCTTGGATCCTTGGTTAGAAACAGAGCCAGAGGAGGAACGATGTAAACATGCGTCGCTCTGTACTTGTGGATGGCAGAGAGAAAAGAGACTGGCTGGAACTCTGGAAGCAACACCACATTGGCCCCCTTCATAGGACAGCAGAGAGAGTAGATGTACAGTCCGTAGATATGGTAGAGAGGCAACACGCCAATCATTGTGCTTCTCTCGCTCAGGTCAAACAGGCTCTTGTATTGAATGAGCTGCCAGACGTTTGCAATCATATTGTAGTGTGTCAGCGAGACGCCCTTCGGTAGACCTGTGGCAGATAGTCATGTAAACTTAAAATTAAAAAAAAAAAGAAGCAAAAATCATATTTTTTGACGCGGGGGTGTGGTTGAATACTTCCTGAAGTTTATTCATGCCATGTTCTGAGTCTACAAAACATTGCTATTTTTACAGAGTTAAGGAATTAAAGACTGTAAGACTACGTTGTCTTCAAAAATAGCGATCTGATGCTGAGGGTATAAAATAAATGACTTACTTGTCATTAACTTAGCACTAATATTTTCAGTCACTAATTGAGATGAGCCAATGAAAAGAAATCGCACATGTCATAGGCGCCGAGTTATCAAAAAATCAATAAGAAAATATTTAAAATAAACGGCAATTGTTTGGAGATTTGACCGATTTATTTTTTGTGTAGCTAAAGACCTGTAGTTCCTGAAGAGAAAGGAAGCAGCCACATATCATTCTTCGGGTCCAAAACAGACTCCGGTTCTCGCCATTTCCCAGGGGGCTTCTCCGTCAGTTTACTAAAAGGCACAACTCCAACACCCACAATGCTAGTTGGCGTTTCAGACGAAATGTCCAGCACAAATATTTCCCCCAATTGCAGGTTTTTTCCTTCAGATTTAGCAGTTGACAGTGCAGCTTCGAGTGAGGGCAGCAGACTGTTCTGAACTATGATTGGACGACGGATTACAAAGGAAGGAATTTAGTTTCTCCAAAAAAGATAACAGAAAACGCGAAATTGTATATATTTTTTTTAACTAAGAGTAGCTTTGTTAGTTTAAAGCTTCATTTCTTTTTTAAATTACAGGTTTATGAAGAAAAAACAGTCAATCAAATATAACTTTTATTTTTCCACGCTCAATAATTCCCGAAGCTTAACAAAATTAAAAGGAGTTGCTTTTTACTACAGGCTTTATTACAGGCGTTAGTACATCCCCGCATTTAAAAATTCGAGTAGCTCTAAACCTCTAGCCTGATTGATTTTTTCGAAATCGAATTTCGCATAAAAACATCAAGACAATTAATCACTTGCAAAACTCTCGAAACTTGCAACCCCCCCCCCTTAAGCGGTTGGTTTAAAAGAGTTGTTCATCATTATTGTAATCCATCTTCGTCACCCACTTATGATGGCCTTGGAGTCGCTTACTTCTAGTTGGTAGAGCAGTTCTGTGCCCGTGTAGGCGGGATTAGCGGGCGAAACTGTGACGTGAGAGAGGGAACAGCCGACCAGTGCAATCACAAAGTTTGAGCAGTTCTTACTCATCAGACAAATTACATCGCCTAAATCAGACGAACACACCCCAGCTAATTTATTTACTGAAAATTTTTTAAACTTCTTTTCTAACAGATGCAACAGAATAATCATAAACATAGCCAATATACCATTGGAAAAGTGTCACTGAACAAAAAGAAAAAACTAAAATCCGTCGAAAATTTAAAGAAATATAATCCATAATCGAAATTGAAAGTCATTCATGTCTTCTCGTGCAATTTCTAGCGTTGTAATTGAAGAGCTTATTTTACCTTCCATTTATTCAAGGAATTTGTTTACAAATCATACCGCAAAAAAAATGAAATTCGAGCAGTGAGGTGACATTTTTTTGCAAGCGACGATTGGTCACAGAGCAATTTGTCATAATAAATATCTAAATAACTCAAAACAATTGGATTTAGCAATGCAGCGCAACCAACTGGCCATACCTTAGCAGTTGCTGGATTTGATATTGAATGTTTCACGGAAATACTAAGCAAAAAACGCCATCAAATTGCCTGGAACGAACTTTCGCTGTTCTGATTGCATCAAAAATTTGGCTTCAAAATTGGAGAAAAAAATATCGCCTTGGAGGAAAAAAAATCGGCTCCAAAATCGGAGAAAAAAAAAGAATTTTATGGGTCACAATATTTTGACAAAACTATACCGATTTGAGAATAACACATCAAAAAGTAGACTTAATTGTATGGAAACTGAGAAAATAAGCGATACAAAATTGAGAAGTGCCAAAGAAAAAATTAAAGATTTAAGATGAAAAAATTCTCCCGGTTTAAAATTTAAAAAAAAACCTTTTTGAAACTGTTATAGAAAGCAATCCAGGAAACTTAACGAAGATTCGCGCAGCACAAACTTCATTCATTTCTTTCTCTCAACTAATAAATGGAAAAGATAAAAGTAAAATTCGGGTCCAAAAATCTAGATCCAAAATTTACCAACAAAATTTGCTTAAAATCTGACGAAAAAACTATCCAAAAAACTATTGAAAAAATGAAAACTTTCTATCTATTGCTTGGTACAAAACAATATCAAATGAAAAAACAAAGCTTTCAAAAAGTTTAAATAGAAAAATCTCAAACAATTGTGTCAAAGAGGAATATGCAAAAAAAAACATATATAAATACCTATAAATTTACACAGGAGCGAAGCTGTGCTTCGCAGACACTAGCGAGAACACGACAAAAAAGCAGTTTTGCCGAAAATTGGAGTCTCAATAGCTGCCCTCTCGGCCACGAACGCTTAACAACCGGTAAACAATAGTGACAAATAAAGCAGCTATATTTGCTAACAAACTACCAATGACATGCAGGCACCAAATACAAACAGACTCAATTTTGCAAGTAATAATTTGAAATATAACAAACTGAAGGCATCCACATTAACTTTGATGTAAGCAAAGCATAGAGTCAAATTATGTATAAAATTTGCATTTCAAAACATCGCGACATATCTTGAGTTAAAAAATTTCTGAAATCGAGTTTTTATTTATGTAATGTTGTTTGAAACAAATAAGGTTTTTTAGGTTAATTTGATGAATTTAAAATGTATCAACTATGTTAACTTATTTTCAATCGAACGTCAAAGCACATGCTATCAAAAAGCTTTAAAAGTGCCCCAAAAGTGGCACCAATATTTGCGACTTCGGTTAGAAAAAAAGAATAGTCGTAGTATTCCGCTAGTGTAAATAAAAAAATCAATGTCAAAAATATTAAGTTATTACGCGATTTCAAAATAGCTTGATCACAACAAAAATAGATCACAATAACGAAAAGACGGGCAAAAACGAAAAAAACGGGAAAATTCATATATATCAAAAAACAACGTCAGCCAGAAACAAATTCGAATCTTGAGGGAAACTTTTGCAGCCGGGACTATTTACTTTTTCAAAAACCGGGTTCGCAGTTCTTCCAAAATTGTCTGCAAGAGAACCACATCCTCTTCCATTGTAAACATTAAAAAACGCTATCGCTATAAATTGACTCAAAATTCTGACGATTTGAAGACCCAGTAGCATGGTTGTTACAAGTGCAATTTGGTTTGAACTGAAGATCATAAACTTGAAGATCCGCTGAACAAAGTTATTAGCAGCTTTTAAAATGAACTGAGCAAAATCAAATCGCTTCATTCTTTGATAATTGAAAACACGTAGTTTTTGTTACCCTTATTGTATCCATACTCCAGCACATTTGAGCTGAAGTATCTGATCCTGGCTGCCAAATCAGAGAAGTGCAGTTTCTCGTGCGAAGTGCCATCCACCAGAAAACTTGAGGGAAACTTGTCGATTGCCTCCAGGTAGAAATCACCGAAGCTCTTCTTTCCAGGCTCCGGAACAGGCACTATATCTTTGATGTCGTCGCATTTAACGTATGAACTCATTTTGACGCGCTACTAAGTGATGGTTCGTTGTACTTCTCGACTATAGCAAGAATGGCGATGACTTACTAAAACACTGCATACGCCCTGTAGTTAGATACCACCACGTTTCGGTACAGACGACCGGTCAGTAGAGCAAACAAATGTTCAAAGTTTCACTAATAAAGTGGACTAATAATATTTGATAGAAAAGTTAACGTAAATGAAACGTATTTAACCTCTGACTTGAGCCACACAATTTAAACTATACTATGTACTTATGACTTGCGCTATTTAGTGCTAATTTAGATTAAGTACAAGAAAATAATTTCAATTAAGCAGCAGGAAACAAAATTTGGCGAAAAGAAATGCAACTTCTTCCTAGTTTTCAAAATAAACAATGTTCAATATCAAGTATCAAATGCAAAATCAAGCTGATCGGATCTTTGCAGTTCACAATAAATCCCAGATTCATTCAAAAGAGCATGAAGCCATAGCACCAGATGAAACAACAACGGACTTGCATGGTCATCAAACGCACGAACAGCATACAGTATGATACTTGGTCACTAACTTATAACTGCGTCCCTGAAATGCTCAATTCTCAATTCTTCATCAAGCGTTCATCACAAAGCCTATCTGTTACCGTGTCGACAAACTGCGGTATCGGTGAAAATTTTTAGGCAGTTTTTTCAAAAATTGGAGGACCCGTCTTTCGTTCTTTTTGCGTGGTTCCAAATATCATACTTGTATTAAAATGAGTATCAGTTGGCTTTGAAGAAGTGTTGCAAATTATCAATGAGGTTCTGTTTGCGTCCTTCAGTGGGCAGCTGGTACAACTCACACGCCTCCTTCAGCACAGCCACGGTGTACTTGCCCAGTTTCTTCTCCACAGCCGCCTGTCTCATTTCGATCGGATTTACATTAACACTCGCCTTCTTAGACGCATTGGACGACCCTGCTGTAGAAGTGTCGGCTAAAACGAGACAATTTTTTGCGTTACATAGACACAGCTGTGTTTCCCAAACACCAGCGAAAGCGACAAAAAGAGCTATAACACTAGCGAAGCAGAGCTGCGAAACACCTGCGATTCAAAAATATACGCCAAAGTTCATGTAAAAATTAGCTGAGTAAAAATACTTCGGAACAATTCATTTTCAGAAAACTCCCAATCATTCCCTCACACTCATAATTCAAAAAAGTCATTTGATAAATTCAACCCATTTTCTGTTTCCATTTTTTCAACCGGGTAAACTATTATTTTGGATTTTAAGCTAATTGTACCCACTCCTTGCTTTCTTGCTGTTAAGAGGAACAATTGAAAATTGACTTCCGTCTAAAACAAAACGCCACTTTAACAACTCAAAAACACGCATGTTCAGGTATAAACTTAGATTGACCTTGATAAAAAACAAGAGATTCAACATGATTGAAAAACTAGACGTTATCAATATTAAGCACGATCCATCCAACTTTTGCACCATAACTGGAATACATTGAAAGGCAGAATACACAGGAATGCACAATTATTTTTGCAATGCCTTATATTTTTTCCGTTAAAAAACATGTCCTAGAAAGATTTTTAACCCTAAATAGAACAAATTGGGGCTAAGAATTTGATATACAATAAAAGTAAGCTCAGCAAATGAATCGGTGATTCAGTTGTTGACCAGAAACGAGTCTTCATTCTGAATTAATAACGCTGACTAATCGCAAGCCTAATAATTTACACAGAAAAGAAACTGCGCTTCGCAAACACAAGCAAAAAAATGCAAAAAAGAGCTCTAACAGGCAAAACAAAGTGAAATAAGGAAAAAAGAAAAATTTCAAAATAAACCTTGAGAAAAAACAAATAGCAATTTTGAAAATGGGATTATCACGTTCTCTCATCTGCTCGATGACCACTTATAATTTAACTACACAGAAGCGAAGCTGAGATTCGCACCACTTGCGATACACAAAGTCACCAACTCATCAAAAAATTGACAGAACGCCAAAAAAATAGCACAAGAAAATTTCAAATGTTGGTTTCAAACTGAAACCCGTTTTGATGAAAACCTGTGGCAGAACACAAGAGCCCAGCTAGTATTGAAATACCTTGAATACTTCGAATTGCGCTACAATATAGCCAGTGAAAAAAAATCGAAAAAAATTATGTTGAAAAAATTACTTGAAAATAAAACTAAAAAGAGTTGAATAAACAGTTAGAGAAACTTCATAGTTGTATTGCATGAAGTTCATAAACAGCCGTAAAAACAACAATTGAAATCATTCACCGAGCAGCAGCAAAGGCAAAATTTTTTGGTTGAAACGTGTTGAGAAAAAAATTTCATGGAGTTTTAAAAATTATTACGACCCATCCATGATGAAGCACATAATCATAAATGAATATATTTTGCCCTCAAAAATACGCACTATAAGTTGACTAAGCTAAAATAACAAACTATTTTAATATTTAAACACAAATAAAAAAAATTGCACAAAATCAGACTTTGTAAATTTACAAATTACTGAAATTTCAGTTATATTGAAGAACTATTTAAATTGGAATAAAACCCATAATTTTAAAAGTAAGCCAATAAAATCCTACAGGACGAAAAATGTGCAATAGAGCAGAAAAAGTTACAGAAACTAGGACGAAAATCACGAACCCGAGAAAAAAAATGAGATATTTTTTAGAAAAAAAATTATTACAACCTGAAAGTCTTTACCTAGTTACTACTTGAATTATGGTAGTTTTATTTGAATTTCAAGAATTTGAGCGTGTCAAAAGCAAATTTACTATTCCTACTAAAATTACAATTCTGTGAACAAAGTTGTTTACGGGAAAAAAAGTCTAGTACACGATTGCAATACACTTGCTGATCGCAAGGGTCAACACTAGCAACCAATAAAGCAGCAGAAATTCGAGCAAAAAATAAAAAAATTTCAATGTTCCGGACTAATATTCACATCCTCGCATCTGCGCCACGGTCACTTGGAAGTAAATTAGTAGTCCAACTAATGCTGGATGTATCTCTATTGATATTTTTAATCATACGTTGTACTGATACGGTAATAAGTATTTTTCAAAATTTCAAAGAAATTGACTTTAAGTAAAAACCCTAGTAATTTTTCTGCTTAATTAAAAGATTAAGTGTTGATTTGAAGGACACAACCTGCTACTTGCTGTATCAATTGAATTCTTTATATCAGATTTGACTCGGTAGTTTCCGTTAAAACCAAGAAGATTCCAAAAACTATCAAAAAAATCTAAAATTTGACTTTTCCTGTATCAATAAACCTTTCTTTACTGAGGCATGGGAAAAGTCTTTTGAGCAGGAAAGATTTCCACCCCCTGATTTTTTGATTGAACCCTTAAAATCAGGCTTAACTAGTAGTTTTCGAGAATAAGGATGAAAAAAAAAACGTAGAAATTTCAAAAAATGGATTTTTCCCGAAGTCCATATCGCTTTTCCACAAACAAATAACAAATAGGTTGAAAATATTATGCAGGGAAAATCTAAGCACCATGTAAGTTTGAATGAACTATCAACCTCAGATTAAGCAGGCAGTTTTTGAAGAAAAAAAGGTTTCCAAAAAACGGACAAAAAATTAAAAATTTGACATTTTCTAAGGCCATATTGTTTTTCAAAACGCAGGGCATAGCCGCTTCCGCAGGGAAGATTCACATAAATGCCTTTTTCTTTCGGTAAAACACTTAATCTTCAATTTGACCGGGTAGTTTTCACAAAAGTTTTCAAAGTTTCCCAAAATGTCAAAAATTGGGCTTGTTTGAAGCCAAACTTTTTTCTATCGAAATTAGGGAATAAGCGCTTGAGAAGGGGAGATCTCTATGATTTGTTTTTTTGATTGAAACCTTCTACTCAGATTTGTGCATTTCATTTTTGAGAAAATGAAAAAATTCGAAACAATTAGGCCAAAAATCCTACTACTAAAACTTTCGAAGGTCGTAGAACGTGAGGTAATATGAAAAGAGACTAGCAAAATCGGCAGGCACGAAGAAGATCAGCCGCGTTTTCCATCGGTACCATTTTTTTTTGAAAACTGGTTCAGTTTAGAGAAAAATTGAAATTTCGGCGAAAAGTGCGAAATTTTCCAAAGCCTCGCAAAAAAAAACGAAAAACAACAAATCCCATAAATTTTCATAATGCATGTTTTTTTTAAACAGGATCTAAAGCTAGCCAAAAAAAGTGCACGAAAAGACGACAAATAGCAGGAGAAGAATGCCGTGAAAAAAAAACTTTGTACCATAACTTTGGTTGGATCGCTTGTCTTATGACATTAGTGGTAATAAAGATCTGAGAAGGGCAGTTTCTTACACAGAGGCGAAGCTATGCTTTGCAAACACTAGCAAGAACACGACAAAAAGCAGCTAAAAGTGAAATAAGCCTCGAATTAATAAAAATACGGTACGTCTCGGATTCGATCGGCGACCTAGAGATTATGCGTCTCACGCACTAACCACTCGGCCACGCACAATTAATATATCACAAACACTAGCCAAAAAGAAAGCAGAGAACACATGCTATGAAATTTCCAATGCTACAGATCGTGATTATTGCAAAAGTGCTACCAAATAAGTGAACACTTTCAATGAACAATTTACAAGTTGGGTTAGAAAAAAAAATAGTCGTGCTACCACAATAACGCCCGCAAGCTCGAAAGTGTAAACATGGCATCTGCAAATAACAGGAAAAAAACCTAGAAAAAAGGTTTCCGCCCATCAATTTACAACAAATCACCGCAACAGTCATAAAAAAAAACGTTTTTACCTTTGCGTTTAGCGCCAGTCGTCTTCGCCCCCTGTCCTCCGCCACTTCCTGGCTGCAGCCCAAAGCACCTCACGAACTCTAACCCCACCTGACCTAGTCTGGAATCAATTGTTTGGGGGGAGGGATTGATGGTGTCCTCCGGTTCCTCCACCGCCTCCTTCTCCAGAGCAATGGCCTCTATGTAGGCGTAGAAGCGGGACAAGTTTGAATGAACTATCAACCTCAGATTAAGCAGGCAGTTTTTGAAGAAAAAAAGGTTTCCAAAAAACGGACAAAAAATTAAAAATTTGACATTTTCTAAGGCCATATTGTTTTTCAAAACGCAGGGCATAGCCGCTTCCGCAGGGAAGATTCACATAAATGCCTTTTTCTTTCGGTAAAACACTTAATCTTCAATTTGACCGGGTAGTTTTCACAAAAGTTTTCAAAGTTTCCCAAAATGTCAAAAATTGGGCTTGTTTGAAGCCAAACTTTTTTCTATCGAAATTAGGGAATAAGCGCTTGAGAAGGGGAGATCTCTATGATTTGTTTTTTTGATTGAAACCTTCTACTCAGATTTGTGCATTTCATTTTTGAGAAAATGAAAAAATTCGAAACAATTAGGCCAAAAATCCTACTACTAAAACTTTCGAAGGTCGTAGAACGTGAGGTAATATGAAAAGAGACTAGCAAAATCGGCAGGCACGAAGAAGATCAGCCGCGTTTTCCATCGGTACCATTTTTTTTTGAAAACTGGTTCAGTTTAGAGAAAAATTGAAATTTCGGCGAAAAGTGCGAAATTTTCCAAAGCCTCGCAAAAAAAAACGAAAAACAACAAATCCCATAAATTTTCATAATGCATGTTTTTTTTAAACAGGATCTAAAGCTAGCCAAAAAAAGTGCACGAAAAGACGACAAATAGCAGGAGAAGAATGCCGTGAAAAAAAAACTTTGTACCATAACTTTGGTTGGATCGCTTGTCTTATGACATTAGTGGTAATAAAGATCTGAGAAGGGCAGTTTCTTACACAGAGGCGAAGCTATGCTTTGCAAACACTAGCAAGAACACGACAAAAAGCAGCTAAAAGTGAAATAAGCCTCGAATTAATAAAAATACGGTACGTCTCGGATTCGATCGGCGACCTAGAGATTATGCGTCTCACGCACTAACCACTCGGCCACGCACAATTAATATATCACAAACACTAGCCAAAAAGAAAGCAGAGAACACATGCTATGAAATTTCCAATGCTACAGATCGTGATTATTGCAAAAGTGCTACCAAATAAGTGAACACTTTCAATGAACAATTTACAAGTTGGGTTAGAAAAAAAAATAGTCGTGCTACCACAATAACGCCCGCAAGCTCGAAAGTGTAAACATGGCATCTGCAAATAACAGGAAAAAAACCTAGAAAAAAGGTTTCCGCCCATCAATTTACAACAAATCACCGCAACAGTCATAAAAAAAAACGTTTTTACCTTTGCGTTTAGCGCCAGTCGTCTTCGCCCCCTGTCCTCCGCCACTTCCTGGCTGCAGCCCAAAGCACCTCACGAACTCTAACCCCACCTGACCTAGTCTGGAATCAATTGTTTGGGGGGAGGGATTGATGGTGTCCTCCGGTTCCTCCACCGCCTCCTTCTCCAGAGCAATGGCCTCTATGTAGGCGTAGAAGCGGGACAACTGCGGGTTGCGGAAGTTCTCTGGGTCAAAGTTGAATCTGTATTGGAACAAAGACAATTTGAACCCAGAGTAGAGATTTGCTGTGCAAGCTAGCACAGAAAGTTCCGATCGCATAAAAAACAAAACAAAAAAAAATCTTCTTTTTTCAATTTTCTGTCGTATTTTTAGCGAGGTGTGATGGGAGGAAAAAAAGAAGCTTTATACACTACCGAAGAGGCGACGCTACGCTTCGCAAACAAGCGAGGAAAAAGCAAAATAGAGTTCTAAACAGGCAAAACAAAGTGATATGAGAAAAAGATTTGTTGAGATTAGGAGTATCACGTTCCCACACCTGCTTCTCGACCGCTTGTAAATTTACTAACACTAGTCCCCAATAAAGCCGATACAGTTTTTATCAAATTGCCAATGTTATGCAGGAAATATTTGACCAAAAAAAAAAACAATTTAAATCTTCCGGATTTGAATATCCGACCTGTTAATTAGGAGTCTCACGTCCTCGAATCTGCGCCACGGTAGCTTGGAAGTACACTAGTGGCCCAGCTAATTCTGGATCCAACTGTTCTAATTTTTTAAACCATATATTGTACTGCTACAATGCGTTATTTTCAAAATTTCAAAATATGGATTTACGCAAACCCTAGTGTTTTTGTGCTAAAGTAGTTGATTAACCACTTATTTAAAAGAAAAAATTACTACTCGCTCTTTCAATTGAAATCTTCATTTCAATCTTTGCAGGGTATTTTCGAAAAAAAGTAAAAAATATTCCAAAAATCCATCAAAAATTCAAAAGTTTGACTCTTCCTCAATCCATGAACTTTTCTCAACTAAAGTGATTTTTAGATTGAAGATTTCCGCACCCTGATTGTTTTAAATTGAACCCTTAATATCAAACTTCGAGTAAATTTCGAGAATAAGGACTAAATTTCTAAAAAAACCGAAAAACTTGAAGTTTTCCGAATTCCATATCAATTTTTCTACAAGAAACAGGGTTAAACATATAACGCAGGGAAAAACTAAGCACCATCTTGGTTTTCTTGAACTATCAACCTCAGAATCAGAAAGTTAGTTTTTGAGAAAAAAAAACAGTAAAACGGTATCTTTCAGAAACTGGGCATAGCCACTTGCAAAATAAGATTCGCATAATCGATGTTTTTCTTTCGATTTAACATTTAATCTCCGATTTGGCAGGGTACTTTTTGAGACATTCAAAAGTTTTAAAAATGAACCAAAATCTCAAATAATGGACTTGTTTGAGGCCATAACTTTTTTTCTACCGAATTTAGGGAATTGCCAGTTGAGATTTGTGCATTTATATTTGAGAAAACGGAAAAAATCAAAACAAGTAAGCCAAAATCCCCCTGCATAACCTTTCGAAGGCCGTAGAAACTGAGGTAAAATGAGAACAGACAAGCAAAACATGCAGGCACATGAAAGAGCAGCTGGTTTTCATATTGGTATTTTTTTTTGAAAATTGATGTTTTTGTGAACTTATGCAGTATTTTTTGCAATTAGAAAAAGCAAACGTTTTCAAAGCGTCGCAAGAAAAAACGAAAAACAACAAATCCCATACACTTTTCATAAAACATATCTTTTTTCAAACAGGGCCTTACACTAGCCAAAAATAAAGCCGCAACATATGCCATTAAATAGTTTATACTTAAATATGATTAATTTGAGATATACGAAAAGTGCCACCAAATGACCACTTTTATTTGCGACTTAGGTTGGAAAAAAAAATTCTTCGTAATAATCCACGACGCTTGGCTTGTGCAGTAAATAAGTAATTAAAAAACTTTTTAAAGCCAAGGATAAGGAAGCGCTTAACGACGAAAGAAGCGTTACTTCCAATAAACTCAAAACTCATCAGCAATCAAAAAACAAGTAGAATAACCACAAATCAAAATTAACTCAAAATCTGCTTCGTTCATTAACATCGAGGAGTGTTGCATAATTTAATGGAGAGAAATATAAAAAATTCAATTCTTGTAGCTAAGCACCTGAGTTTGTTGACGACTGCCTGTGCTGCTTCCACTTGCTCCTCATTGGCACATTCACGTCTTTCCTATAACAAACCAAGATTTTTTCTTCATTGCTCAAAACTCGAAACATAATTCAGTTTAGTAAGAGGTAAGAGATAACATAAATTATTTACATTGACTTTGAGAGACACGTCACGCACATCTTCTGCAAAGGGAATGTAGATCACGTGGAACCCTAAACAGCAAAAGTTTCTTTCGATGCAGAAAAGGTTGAAAAATCAAAAAAAAAAATAAAGCATGTCGTGAATTTTTTCTTTTTAAATCAGCAAAAACTCTTTGAAGCAAATTACACATGCAAAAAAATCACAAAAAAGTGAAATGTACCGCAAAACCTATTCCAGGTAAATTATCAGGGATCAACTTCAACTTTGAAACAACTTTGCTGCAATTCCATGTATGGAATGCATATGCATATATGGAAATTCATATGCATATGGAAATTCCGATAAAACAAAGAAGAACGATTTTAAAGGAAAATGGTGTTCATAAAAATCGAATAAACATCCCAAAGAATGTACAGTATTGGAAATAAAAAATGAACCCCAACAAATTTTTACACAGAGACGAAGCTGTGCTTCGCAAACACAAGCGAGAAAACGACAAAAAAGCAGCTCTAAAAAGTGAAATAAGGAAAAGGTAAAAATAAGCTTTAAAAAAGTCTTGCCCTCGTATATGAATTTTCGCCATTTACATTGCCATTTACACTGATGAACAAGAAAAAGGAGTCTTCTAACCTGGTGGTTTGATTTGAATGCCAGTGTCCGGCTGTAGGATCTCTTTTTGCGGACAGAGAGCCGCGAGTCGGGGATAGGATCCCTGCTTGGTCACTATCTGGCATACTGCAAACACATCTTGAGAGAGACAACTGTTCAGGAGTGCCTGGAACAGCACCAGGGATCCTTTCACCGCACTCTCATCCGGGTAAATAAAGTGGGATGGTCTGCGACAAACAAAAACGGGGCTTTCACCCACACATATTGGGTGCGGCAGTTTGAAGTTCGCTATGATTGCATACCATATTATCATGTTTTCAATTGAATGAAGAGTACTTTCAGATACTCGAGAGCTAAGTAAATTCAAACTGTCGCGTCGAATATCTGGGTAATTTTAGCAGAAAATAATTAAAATTCGAAAACATGATAATTTAGGAGTCCTCTCAAGCTGAAACGGGTTTAGTCAGAAAGATATTTGCAGTGTTTCTCTGGTTGATCATCATCATAACCATAGTTGTATAGCTATGATAGTTGGCTCGACTATCACTGCTATCCTAGCTTCGGACGCAGTAAAATCGAAGCACACTTGGTCTAGGAGTTTAACTTTCTTTATTTCAAATACCGTCACCTTAGAAAGTTGGTGAAGTCCAGTTGTTTGGTGGATCGGAATCCCATCACTGTCAGACCAGAAGGAGCCAAGTACTTCATACTGTCCCGTTCCGTCTTGCCCAGGAAAATGTTCTCCCCTCCGAAAGTCTGGGCGAATCTTACCTCATCAGGCATCAGCACCTCCCCTGTCTCACTGGAGACGGTCTCCGTGCGGGAGAACACTTCCTTGTTCGTGTCTTTGTCCAGCTTCACTCCTGCCGGCTTACTGGCGATGTTGACGAAACTAAATAACGGGTTATTTAAGTTTTGACATGCTTTAAGGCATGATTAATTGAATTAAAATCACTGATTTATAACCACTTAAAAACAGTCTTTAAATAATTCAGAGTTAATGTCAAAAAACTATATATCATTTCTCTTGCACTTGTACTTGGTTTGAACTTGGTTTTCTAATTCTAAGCAAAAGCAACCGAATCATACGCGAAAAAAAAAACTAGTGCGTTTTGAATATTTCTAGTTGATTTTAAAAAGTGAGAAAAAAATTGAACAAATTTGGCAATTATAGACTTCATACCTGAAGACTTTGACTCCGAACTGCTTTCCGAACAGGTCCATTTTGAGAGACGAGAGTGCTCTTGATGTGTATTCCTTGGTTGTCACTCTGTAGAGTAGCTCTTTGATCTTCACTGTGGGGTCTGCGATAGAGGCTGTTTTGTCCCTCAACTGCGGCAGAGCACTCTCCCAGAACACTGTCATGTCGAAGAAACCGTCGGGAGGAGCTGCAAATTGTTTAAAAAATAACGACCGTTTTTTTTTTAAAAAAGGAGTCGCTTTACAATATATAAAATCTCAAAACAGAGCCAACACACAGTTGGAAAAGTATTAATCAAGGAAACTAAAGAGAACGTTAAACTTTCTTAACATTCAATTTTCCCAGACCAACATTATTTTAAAGCTCCTCCAACTTCAACAATCTTTTACGGTTGACACTTGAATTAAAAGCACTATTGGAGAAAATCTGATGAACCCGTAATTTTTTTCGGTAACTAGATACAATTTTGAAAAGCTGAGCGCCATTATTTTTTTAAACTTTTTTATTTCGCCAAAATATATCTTAAATTTTGGGGTCATTGAATCAATTGTTTTTATATGCCACACAACTTTGACAAAAGTCTGAAGATTGTCTGAAGAAAATATCACACCGAGCACTCAAATTCTATCAATTCATCAAAACTCGGAACAAAGTTAGTTCGACCATTCGCTTAACAAGTCTGAAAGCACTTCACTTCAAAAGAAAAGACAGGTGGCACTTCACAAAAATGAGAACCAAGCCATCCGAAATTGAAAAGAACACCACTAATAAAAAATCGAGAAAAAAATCATTAATTTTGGTCTGTTATATGAAACACGAAGACACACAATTTGAAATTTCATAATCGCATGGGCAAATAATTACGCATGTCGGCACTTGTACATGTCAGTTGCTAATTGCGCCCAATTTCTAACAGATTTGAAAGAAAATGAGTTTATGAGGAAAAGTCAAGTTTCCGGTTACAAGTGTGAAAATAAAAAAAAATGGCCGAATGTGCCATGTTTTGTCGATATCTACTATTGTGAGTTTAAAACAAAGAACAAGCACCAAAAAACAGATTATTACTGATGATAAAAACTTCAGCACTGCTATTCCTTGATATATATTTGAGCTACCTAGACTGAGCGATCAAAAAGTAGCGCAGATTGTTCCGACCACTACCATCCATAGAAATTTTTTTTTTTAATTTAAATTCAAGTAGTTTTTAGTGCATGGTGTAATAGAAACTACACAAAGGCGTAATTTAATGAAAACATAGGTGAAGCTGAGTTTCGCACCCCTTGCGATACATAAGAAGAAATAAAATTGAAAAAAAATTCGAAAATGCAAAAAAAAAAAGCTAGATATATCAAAATGAATAAGGCTAGTTCTAAAAAAACATGCCAAGACAATAGAATGCGAAATTAGCGTCGGGAGATAATGTACCCAGCGGTAACAAAGCCGAAAATGCCTTGTCAGAAATCTTTTAGGCCAAAAAAGTCAACCAGTCCCCCTCACCCACAAAACACCTATAAAATTAAATTGCTCATCAAATGAAACAATATGAGGTCACTAACCTGATATAAACTATGCCAAAACCTACAAGCCTAAAAAGGAAACAAAAACTTCAGACAAAATCAAGACCAATAAGAAAGTTATTAATCCCCCATCGCCTTCAAAACACAGACACACAATCACAATCTTTGTTCGCTCGTCAAAAGACGCAACATGGGGTCAATAAGCCGATATAATGTGGGCCAAAACCTATCAAACCAAAAAAGAAAAAGCCGAAAAAAAATTGTTATCATGAAAAACTTCAATCTTTAAAGCATTTTGTGCAATCCAGAAGTGAGCATAAAAATATGCTTCCGTTGAAACGGCTCAAAAATTAGGTCACTAAGCCAATACAAATAGGATTAAATCAAACCATTTGGGCAGAATAAAAATTTTAAGCAAAAAAAAAACGAAAAAAGAAAGGTACGAAGTCAAGATTAGTAAATTTACAAACAGAAGAGGTAGAAAAGAACACTCAAAGTAAGTATAATGTAGAAAAAACATTTCAAAAAACAATTCTACAGTAATATGACAACTAGGCCGACAAAATATAAGCAGACAATAATTAGCCGACACTATTTTTTAAACGAACTATTTCGGTTGAAAAAACAGGTCTTGTCAAATTTGAACCCAGCTCCTTTGCCGTCCCTCCAGACCAAGTAAAGAAGACGCAAAGAAATTGGAATTCATGAGCTGAACCTAAATTTACCATTTCTAATTTTGACCATTCTGTCAACCAAGTTATTTACGGGGAAAACGTCTACTACCCGATTGCATTACCTTTGCTTATCGCAAGGGTAATTAGACATTGTCGACAACTTAAAAAAATTTGCAAAGTTTTTTTTTAAATTTTTTCAACCATAATTTTTCAATTTTGTTAAGCAATAGGCAATTAACAAACCCAATCCAAGAACTTCAACTTCAATTGAGTTGTTAGCCAAGTCCAAAATCTTCTGCTGAGTAGCTTTCCTTGCATGTTGGTTGGAGGACTGAGGGTCTTCGTTCATCGTAAACAAGAACACCTGTTTCGTTGAAAGGGTTGAGGTCACGCGTGAAAACATATTCTGAGTCACCCAAAACGCATCCGCAAAGGAAGCTTCGTGACCAAAACCCAATTTAGAAGCGTCAAAATTGGACTTTACTTTCTCCACTGCAATTACACTTTTGGCACCTGGTAGTTCTAATGGCAACAATGTGTGAACGTGTTTAAAATCGGTTTCGGACGACTGGGACTGTGCAGTTCCGATCAATTGACACGCGATCAAATCCCGGTCAGAGCAAATGATTTTGCTTTTGATGAAGTTGCTCACACAAGTCAGTGCAATTTCTATCAAACTCGTTTTTGAATCCTCTGCGTCCGGGTCTACGAATATGTCAGAGCTGGCCGAAAAATTCATTTGTTAATAAATAATCCAAAATTAAACTTTTTACTGCGGCGAAGAGAATTTCTGACAAAACAAAACATGGAGAACTCGAATTGTTTTGAAACAAATTAGTCTAATTCCTTCCTAATACTCTGCACTACTCAATTTTAGGGACCCCCGCAACACAAATTGACTTCTTCATAGACCCCACTCCCCTAGAAAATTGGCACCTCCAATACCATAAAATTTATACCTAAAGTTTCTGAAAAATGTCTATTTAACGCACAAAAATGTTGTTTGGATTAAATTACTAAAACTGCGCCCATTTCAATGTTCAAGACAATTTTAGTCTCAATTTTGGCATAATATTTATCACACTAATTTGCGACCACCCCCTGATAACTTTGATCCCCACCGCAATGAAAAACGCTGTTGTATTCAAAAATTTTCCAACCCCCCGGTAATTTTCGACCCCCACGTACGTATTAGGCACCGCAGAGAAATTTAATTTCAAAAAAGCAGGAAAATAATTGATTAAAAATACTTTCCTCAAAATTACATGGCACTCTTTCACGGGTCATCTCTCGCAGGTGAGATGAAATTTTCAACAGAAGAAGCTGGTGGTTTTATTGATTAGTATCATAAATGTTTTACGAGAAAAATTCTAGTTCCTAGCACAATAAGATGGTTTCTTAATTTTATGGTTGCACTATAATTATTCCATTAACTGGAAACATTTTTCCCAATACCACTAATTGTTTAGCCAACCCTGAAAAGAGTGGAAAATTGACTTGTCGGTGACATCGATAATGAAAACAGTGGCGTTTCGGGAGACTGTTTCCCACTTGGCGGCTGCTCTCACTTCGTCCAAATTATCACCTCCAAAGTCGTCTCCATCGTCCGTGATGTCATAACCAAAACGAATGAAGTCCCCCATTGATATTTGAGGCTCACAGATATTTATCTGAAGAGATGCGACTAAGTTTTTGTACCATTCAAAAGTCTCAATTATACAAACTTCAGCTAGAAACGGAGTTAGTAAGAGAATTCTTTCATTATTAAAAAAAAACAAACTACTTAGGTTTATTAAAGCTAATTATGGGAGAAATGTTGGAAAAAATGGAACAAAGGATAAATAAATGAATCTCATCTGCTGTTTATTCATTTGACACATCGGCAGTTTTGTGAAAGACCCACAAATAATCATTGGAAAGGGTCGAAAGATATATAACATTCAAGCCTTTTCAGTCGTGATTCGAACGACATTAAAAACTTTTTCCACAGTCGAGAAAAGTCTGTTTTAGTCTAGAAAAGTTGGTTTTAACTTTCTAGAATTAAGCGAGCGAGAAGGTCTTATCATTTTTTTTTATTCAAGTAGTTAAAAGGTAGTTTTACCTCAAGAAAACTGGATATGGAAGCTTAATTGAGCGCTTCCTTGGCAATAATTTTATTTTCTGAAAAAAATTGGAAGAAAATTCGGAAATATTTTTTCCTTTTTTTTGGCTTGTAGCTCAATTTTTCAAGACAGTTGTTACCGATAGGCCTAATAAAAAACGTTGAAAACTACTGAGTTGTCAATTGAAAAATTCTCAACCGTCGCAGTTCCAAGAAAAAATAGACGTCCTCAAAGCTCTGTGAACTTCTAAAACAACTTATGATTGACAATTTTATGATAAAACTAGACCAAAAGAAAAAATTTTATTTCGATGGGAGGTAGAAGTCAATCAAACTTTTCGTGTCCTTTTTATTTTCGCTGTTCGATAGAGCAGTTTGCCTTCCTTTTAACAAATGAACTGAACTAATTTTGAAAAGAAATCAGAAGTCAAACCGCGAAAAAAAATGAGCCTGAATAAATTTTAAGACTTTTCCTGGAAAGAAAACAAAAAAAAATCAGACCTATATGAGTCTGCACTAGGTTCATCGACTCATAAACTTCGTCAACCACTAATTCTACTTAAAATAATCCTGTGAACTCATCCTATTTACGCCAAAAGACTATAGTAACAGATTGCAGTACCTTTCTTTATCACAAGGGCAATAAACATTTTCAACGGTCGTATAAGTCAAAACTTCGAATGTTAGTTTTTCCGAGCGCTCAACTCTTGAGCTCAAATGTCTCGAGACCAACTGCTCTTTTATTCACCTGACTTGTTTCCGGTCACCTATACAATTTGTTACACAGAGGCGAAGCAAAGCCCATCATCACTTGCAAAAGAAAAAAGAATGACTCACTACTTGCAAAGAAACCGATACATCGAAACCAAAATTTCATGAAAAATTATAAGAAAATCCGTTTTTGGAACTGAATCACCTTTAACTTTAGAAACTTCACAAAGAGAGGCGAAGCAAAACATCGCTATACTTGCAATGAACACCTTTTTAACTCAGAAATTTCAAGTCCCCAATCAAAGCAAATAGATTAAACTTTTTGCTCCTCAAACTTCTCAAAAAAGGCCCCTCAGTCGGTATATTATAAATTATAACAATTTCAGCCGAATAAAGGGGAAAAAAGAGAAAACAGCCAAGAGGCAGTTGGGAAAGAGTCAAATAACGCAAGTAAACAGAAAAAAAAACTGACTTATTTGTTTAAAAATCCCAACTTTCGATAAAAAAGCCACTTTTTTGATAAAATTAACTCAATTCAGTACTTTCGAACTTAATGTCCAAGAAACAAACAGATGGCTCTGAAGCTTTTTAAATTTCTAGAACAATTTATGATTGACACTGTTTTTTGATTAAATAAACTCAATTTTAAAAAACTGAATCAATCAATAAAATTTTTATTTCACTCGGAAATCTCAAAATTAAAATCCACTTACGCAAATAACCGATCGTGTTTTTCGTGATCTTCACAATTTCGCTGTTCAATACTGTAGTTTGCTTTCCTTTTAAAATTCTCTAAAAACACTAGAACAATCTTTTACGGTTGACACTTGAGTTAAAAGCACTATTTGAGAAAATCTGATGAAACCGTAATTTTTTTCGGTAACTAGATACAATTTTGAAAAGATGAGCGCCATTATTTTTTGAACTTTTTTAGTTCGCCAAAATATATCTTAAATTTTGGGGTCCTTGAATCAATTGTTTTTATATGCCACACAACTTTGACGAAAGTCTGAAGATTGTCTGAAGAAAATATCACACCGAGCACTCAAATTCTATCAATTCATCAAAACTTGGAACAAAGTTAGTTCGACCATTCTCTTAAAAAGTCTGAAAGCACTTCACTTCAAAAGAAAAGACAGGTGGCACTTCACAAAAATGAGAACCAAGCCACCCGAAATTGAAAAGAACACCACTAATAAAAAATCGACAAAAAATCATAAATTTTGGTCTTTTATATGAAACACGAAGACACACAATTTGAAATTTCATAATCGCATGGGCAAAGAATTACGCATGTCGGCACTTGTACATGTCAGTTGCTAATCGCGCCCATTTTCTAACAGATTTGAAAGAAAATGAGTTTATGAGGAAAAGTCAAGTTTCCGGTTACAAGTGTGAAATTAAAAGAAAAAATGGCCGAATGTGCCATGTTTTGTCGATATCTATTATTGTGAGTTTAATGCAAAAAACAAGCACCAAAACAGATAATTACAGATGATAAAAACTTCAGCACTGTTATTTCTTGATATATACTTGAGCTACCTAGACTGAGCGATCAAAAACTCGCGCAGATTGTTCCGACCACTACCATCCATAGAAATTTTTTTTAAAATTAAAATTCAAGTAGTTTTTAGTGCAAGGTGTAATAGAAACTACAAAATTGCGTTATTTAATGAAAACATAGGTGAAGCTGAGTTTCGCACCCCTTGCGATACAGAACAAGAAATACAATTGAAAAAAATTCGAAAATGCCAAAAAAAACTAGATCTATCAAAATGAATAAGACTAGTTCTAAAAAAAAAACATGATAAGACAATAGAATGCGAGATTAGCGTCGGGAGATAATGTACCCAGCGGTAACAAAGCCGAAAATGATTTGTCAGAAATCCTTTAGGCCAAAAAAAGTCAACCAGTCCCCCTCACCCACAAAACACCCAAAAAATTAAATTGCTCATCAAATGAAACAATATGAGGTCACTAACCTGATATAAACTATGCCAAAACCTACAAACCTAAAAAGGAAACAAAAACTTTAGACAAAATCAAGACCAATAAGAAGTTATTAAGCCCCCCTCGCCTTCAAAACACAGACACACAATCTTTTTTGTTCGCTCATCAAAAGACGCTACATGGGGCCAATAAGCCGATATAATATGGGCCAAAACCTATCAAACCAAAAAGATTAGTAAATTTACAAACAGAAGAGGTAGAAAAGAACACTTAATGTAACCATAATGTAGAAAAAACATTTTAAAAAACAATTCTACAGTAATATGGCAACTAGGCCGACAAAATATAAGCAGACAATAATTAGCCGACAATATTTTTTAAACGAACTATTTCGGTTGAAAAAACAGGTCTGGTCAGATTTGAACCCAGCTCCTTTGCCGTCCCAAGCGCAATCTTTACCTCCAGACCAAGTAAAGAAGACGCAAAGAAATTGGAATTCATTATGAGCTGAACCTAACTTTACCATTTCTAATTTTGACCATTCTGTCAACCAAGTTATTTACGGCGAAAACGTCTACTACCCGATTGCATTACCTTTGCTTATCGCAAGGGTAATTAGACAATGTCGACAACTTCAAAAATTGAATGGCAAACAGAAAACAAAAAATTTGCAAAGTTTTTTTTTTAAATTTTTGCACTATAATTTTTCAATTTTGTTAAACAATAGGCAATTAACAAACCCAATCCAAGAACTTCAACTTCAATTGAATTGTTAGCCAAGTCCAAAATCTTCTGCTGAGTAGCTTTCCTTGCATGTTGGTTGGAGGAATGAGGGTCTTCGTTCATCGTAAACAAGAACACCTGTTTCGCTGAAAGGGTTGAGGTCACGCGTGAAAACATATTCTGAGTCACCCAAAACGCATCCGCAAATGAAGCTTCGTGACCAAAACCCAATTTAGAAGCGTCAAAATTGGACTTTACTTTCTCCACTGCAATTACACTTTTGGCACCTGGTAGTTCTAATGGCAACAATGTGTGAACGTGTTTAAAATTCATTTGTTAATAAATAAACCAAAATTAAACTTTTTACAATGGCGAAGAGAATTTCTCACAAAACAAAACATGGAGAAAATTTTTGAAACAAATTAGTCTAATTCCTTCCTAATACTCTGCACTACTCAATTTTCGGGACCCCCGCAACACAAATTGACTTCGTCATAGACCGCAAAAATAACTATTTAACGCACACAAATGTCGTTTGGATTAAATTGCTAAAACTGGGCCAAATTCAATGTTCAAGAAAATTTTAGTCTCAATTTCGGCATAACATTTATCACACTAGATCCAAACTTGCGGCCACCCCCTGATAACTTTGATCTCCACCGCAATGAAAAACGGTTTTGTGTTCAAAAATTTTCCAACTACCCTCCCGGTAATTTTCGACCCCCACGTACGTATTAGGCACCGCAGAGAAATTTAATTTCAAATATTTCTTCCTAAGCAGGAAAATAATTGATTAAAAATACTTCCCTCAAAATTATATGGCACTCTTTCACTGGTCATCTCTCGCAGGTGAGATGAAACTTTCAACAGAAGAAGCTGGTAATTATATTGATTGGTATCATAAATGTTTTACGATAAAAATTCTAATTTCTAGCACAATAATTTTATGGTTTCACTATAATTATTCCATTAACTGGAACCATTTTTTCCCTATACCACTAATTGTTTAGCCAACCCTGAAAAGAGTGGAAAATTGACTTGTCGGTGACATCGATAATGAAAACAGTGGCGTTTCGGGAGACTGTTTCCCACTTGGCGGCTGCTCTCATTTCGTCCAAATTATCACCTCCAAAGTCGCCTCCATCGTCCATGATGTCATAACCAAAACGAATGAAATCCCCCATTGATATTTGAGGCTCACAGATATTTATCTGAAGAGATGCGACTAAGTTTTTGTACCATTCAAAAGTCTCAATTTTACAAACTTCAGCTAGAAACGGAGTTAGTAAGAGAATTCTTTCATTATTAAAAAAAACCAACTACTTAGGTTTATTAAAGCTAATTATGGGAGAAATGTTGGAAAAAATGGAACAAAGGATAAATAAATGAATCTCATCTGCTGTTTATTCATTTGACACATCGGCAGTTTTGTGAAAGACCCACAAATAATCATTGGAAAGGGTCGAAAGATATATAACATTCAAGCCTTTTCAGTCGTGATTCGAACGACATTAAAAACTTTTTCCACAGTCGAGAAAAGTCTGTTTTAGTCTAGAAAATGTGGTTTTAACTTTCTAGAATTAAGCGAGCGAGAAGGTCTTATCATTTTTTTTATTCAAGTAGTTAAAAGGTAGTTTTACCTCAAGAAAACTGGATATGGAAGCTTAATTGAGCACTTCCTTGGCAATAATTTTATTTTCTGAAAAAAATTGGAAGAAAATTCGGAAATATTTTTTCCTTTTTTTTGGCTTGTAGCTCAATTTTTCAAGACAGTTGTTACCGATAGGCCTAATAAAAAACGTTGAAAACTACTGAGTTGTCAATTGAAAAATTCTCAACCGTCGCAGTTCCAAGAAAAAATAGACGTCCTCAAAGCTCTTTGAACTTTAAAACAATTTATGATTGACAATTTTATGATAAAACTAGACCAAAAGAAAAATTTTTATTTCGATGGGAGGTAGAAGTCAATCAAACTTTTCGTGTCCTTTTTATTTTCGCTGTTCGATAGAGCAATTTGCCTTCCTTTTAACAAATGAACTGAACTAATTTTGAAAAGAAATCAGAAGTCAAACCGCGAAAAAAAATGAGTCTGAACAAATTTTAAGACTTTTCCTGGAAAGAAAACAAAAAAAAATCAGACCTATATGAGTCTGCACTAGGTTCATCGACTCATAAACTTCGTCAACCACTAATTCTATTTAAAATATTCCTGTGAACTCATCCTATTTACGCCAAAAGACTATAGTAACAGATTGCAGTACCTTTCTTTACCACAAGGGCAATAAACATTTTCAACTGTCGTATAAGTCAAAACTTCGAATGTTAGTTTTTCCGAGCGCTCAACTCTTGAGCTCAAATGTTTCGAGACCAACTGCTCTTTTATTCACCTGACTTGTTTCCGGTCGCCTATACAAGGTTTTACACAGAGGCGAAGCAAAGCCCATCATCACTTGCAAAAGAAAAAAGAATGACTCACTACTTGCAAAGGAACCGATACATCGAAACCAAAATTTCAAAAAATTTCTTGAAAAATTATAAGAAAATCCGTTTTTGGAACTGAATCACCTTTAACTTTAGAAACTTCACAAAGAGAGGCGAAGCAAAGGGGAAGCAAAACATCGCTATACTTGCAATGAACACCTTTTTAACTCAAAAATTTCAAGTCCCCAATCAAAGCAAATAGATTGAACTTTTTGCTCCTCAAACTTCTCAAAAAAGGCCCCTCAGTCGATATATTATAAATTATAACAATTTCAGCCGAATAAAGGGGAAAAAAGAGAAAACAGCCAAGAGGCAGTTGGGAAAGAGTCAAATAACGCAAGTAAACAGAAAAAAAATACTGACTTATTTGTTTAAAAATCCCAACTTTCGATAAAAAAGCCACTTTTTTGATAAAATTAACTCAATTCAGTACTTTTGAACTTAATGTCCAAGAAACAAACAGATGGCTCTGAAGCTTTTTAAATTTCTAGAACAATTTATGATTGACACTGTTTTTTGATTAAATAAACTCAATTTTAAAAAACTGAATCAATCAATAAAATTTTTATTTCACTCGGAAATCTCAAAATTCAAATCCACTTACGCAAATAGAAACCGATCGTGTTTTTCGTGATCTTCACACTTTCGCTGTTCAATACTGTAGTTTGCTTTCCTTTTATCAAAGGAAACGAACTGAACTTATAACTTAATCATAAGTCAAACCGCGAAAAATCAAATTTGAGCAGGAGCAAATATAAGACGACTTTCCTGAAAAATCATAGCCAATTGAACATTGGAAAAAAGCAATGAATGCAAGTAAACATTGAAAAAAACCCTCACTTTGTTGAAAAAATCTCAATTTTCGATTTTCAAAGAACAAAATAGATGCCTTTTAAGCTCTTCAAATTTCTAGAACGATTTATGATTAATGCTTTTTTGATAAAAGTAACCCAACTTGAAAAAACTGGATTAACAGGTCAAGTTTTTATTCCGCTGGAAATCTAAAATTTAAATTCTACTTTCTAAACTACAAATTGTTCACATTTTTTGCGCCATTTCCACGTTCGTATTTGGAGAGTGCTATTTACGTAACTTTTAGCAGATGAATTTCAATTGAACTCAAAAAGTGCATATAGATCTAAGTGCATCAATATTTTAAGACTTTTTCCTGAAACAAAAAAAAAACAAAATCAGCAAGACCTATATAAGAGTCTTCACTACGTTCATTAGTCTTTAAAAAATCCTTTTTACATTCATCGACTCTTGAAAAAAACTAACAAAAAACTGATATACTGAAATTGGAGTTGGTAAATTTACAGCAAGCATGCAAAAGGAATTCGATTACAACGGGCATTTAAAACGCAAACTTTCATCCTGTGAACAAAGTTATTCACGGGAAAAATCCCATTACGCGATTGCAATATCCCTTGCTTACTGCAAAGATGAAAACTATATTAATCTTGAGCATCGTTATTTTTCTCACATAAGCTGTTTTTTTTATAATGCAAAAACAGTTGCCAAAAATAAGTCGAGTGATACATCACATTGAACTTTTTTAAAAACTTTTCAGTGTTCGAGAAAAACGATAGCATCCTAAATTTCGGAGCGAAGAGTCACGATCCAATTTTACGCTAGTTTAACTGTTCTTTATGTATGTTCAAATTTACAAGAAGCTAGTAGCCCACCACCAAGATGCTAGATTTAACACATCGCCTTTCGCCGCCCCCCCCCCCCCCGAAAGAAAAGAAATGTAACTTAATATAATCCGAAAAAAAATAACCAAAACGGACAGCTGGCTTTCTCCGCCCCCTCCCACCCCCCCCCCCCCCCCCCCCCCCTGACAAAAAAAGAAACATGACTTACTATAATCCGAAAAAAAAACCAAAACAGAGTCAATGAACGCAAGAAAACAGAAAATAACAAAAATACTGACTCTATTTGAATTTCGAAGGAAGCAATATATGGCCTTAAAATTATTTAATCTTCAAGAAACATTTATGATTGACTTTTTTTTGAGACAATTATTCCAGTTTGACAAAAAGATCAATTGTCAAATATTTTACTCCGCTGGGAAATCTGAAAATTAAAATCCACTTTTAAAACTAGAAGACGATCACATTTTTTGTAAATTTTACACTTTTGCTGTTCAATGGTCAAGATTGGCTCTTTTAACAAAGGAAATATTGCATTTCCTTCTTTGTAATTATTAAATAGTTACTTATATTTAATTGCAGAATTTGTCCAAATTTGTCGAGATCTTGTTGAGTAGCTCACACTCAAAATCTCTCTTGAGCTCAATTGGTCTACGGACCCTCAAATCGATTTAGAGTCGCCAACATTACGATTCTTCCATAAACATAAAGATTCCAAAACGTCCAAAATACAATTTTTGGATTTAAAAAAACCTATTTGTGGAAATCCCTTCAGATTTGAACATCCTAAATTGAAAATGAAGAACAGATTATTTGGGACAAAACCACATTACCAAAAATTGAAAAATAAAGGGACACAGAGAACTGAAAATAGCGGGTTTCAAAGTTTTAGAAGTTTATAAGAAAAAACTGTTTCTGATTTTAAAAAATAACCCAAATTTGCTTTTTATTACGCCGGTAGTTCGAGGATTATATCACGTTTGGAAGCTTAAAATTAACAGTCGGGCATTTTGGCGCCATATAAATTTCGTTCTCAGAGGCTAAAATTGCACAAGAGCGTGAATTTATTTTAAAACTTTCTTAAACGAAAAAAAAACAAACACCACTCGGCCCGAAGAAAAGAAAATTTAAGTTCTTCTTTGTTCCAATATCAAAGTGTTTCACCAAAAATGCATCTATCAACTGCTAAAAAAAGACAGATAGAGAAGAAAGTATAAATTTCTGTACAGAGGGAAAGGAACAGCTTTATTTATACATGTACATTAAATACAATTTAAACTCAAAAAACACAAACTAAGTTTTGTAACATGGACGCGCGTGGCACTACAGAGAAAGCGAACATTCTAAAATTGAGCTTCTGACACCGATTTATTCATCGACCGAATCCTTTTGCATACTATCTGCCGGTGTGTGCGGCTGAGATGTCGCTTCATTTCTGAATGTGGATTTCGAAATAGACTCTGGCACTGCAATTTCTCTCAACTCTTTCCTAGATTTCACAACTGACACACAGTTTTGACTGTTCCTTCCAGTAAATGGCGCCGCATTTGCAGTCGAGCCCGAAAGTTTCGAAGCTGCATTCGTATCCCTCGCACTGTGAACTTTTTCGGGTCTCGTAACATTAGATTGCACTGAATAAGGAGTCCTATTTCGGGGTGAGTCTTTTTGATCGTCCCGCAGTAGCTGTTGCCCTTGAGAGGAACGAGGAGTCTGGTGCGAGCCCGTATTCGGTCTACTGTTTACAACCTCATCCGATGCGAAATTCATCTTGTTTCCATTAGACAGTTGACTTCGGGCCGAGGCAAGGGATCCATTTGAAGCCTTCGGATCATTCGCACTTGTAAGTCCAGAAGCTGCAAGTTCGCGCAATTTCTTTTTCAGATCGCGGCTTGTGGTTTTGTAGTAAAACAACTCCCTTTCCAAATCTTTCATCTTCACCTCCATAACAGGATCTGTTGCCATTTTTGCTGTCGGTTCTTCGCTGTTAGCTTGCTTGCTAGCTGTAGCTTGTATTTGCTTCAGAAGCAACTGCGTCTTATTCTCATACTCTTTAATTATGTCGGCCGTCCTACGGTCGAAGTCACTTTTGCTCTGATGGACAGCGTGTTGTAAGCTTTGAATGACTCTTTCCTGCTCGTCAACTTTAACTAGCAGCTCATTCTCCTGAAGAGTCAAACTTTTCTCAGTCTCTTTAAGATCTACTACCTTTTTGAAATAAGTTGTCAGTAATGTTATGAGTCCTGGTCGTTCCATTTGGTACACTTTATTTAATAAATTAGGTTCGGAGAACTCTTCCAAAGCCTCTACTTTCTCTTGATAAGTGGAAATTTGGTCCGATTTGAAATCGATTGCAGCTTCTAGCATTTCTACTGCCTCTTCCAATTCGGTTAGTTTACGTTCGTCATTATCTCCCAAAACACGTCCTTCTCTTATCTGTTCGTCAATTACGTCACGCTTGTTCAGCAAGTCGTCTCTTTGTTTGGCCAAGTCATTCAAAACGTCTTCCTTGTCGCCTCTGGCAGTTGCCATTTCGATACTGGCGTCCAGTCGTCCAACTTTGCCTACTAGTTCCAAAGCCTGGCCAGACAACACCTGACTGGCACGAAGTTTCTTCACCTCTATTTGGGTTTTCTCCTTGATCGCGTTTTCTTTTTCGGCCATCAGTTGTTCTCTTCTGGCTAGCTCTTCCTCCAACCTAAGTTTCGAAATGACAAACAATAGATTTCACATCGAGGTATAAGAACGCTATTAATAATTCACTAGAATTATCGTATCTCGTAAACAATCACCCCTATAATACCTACTAATGAATTTGAAGTCCTACAATTCAACTTAACGAAACCTTTTAACAACGCCATTAAATGGACAATTTCAAGACGAAGGACACTCGCAGACACTTTGACAAAACCTACTATAACAAATTCAACATCTTATAACAAACTTTGTACTAGGTAGAAAAAATAAGCTTTTTCTCGCGAAAGGGCGTTATTTAAAGGCAAAAACTCTTATAAAAGCAGATTAAGACAAGAAAATGAGCCAGAAAACAATCCAAAAAGTCAAAAGCCAATAAACTGACCAAAACTCTGATTGTTTGTCAAGTTTTTGTCAGAAATTTGATAAGTGCATTTACAGTTACTGCTAATGAAGTTTTTTGTAATTTAGTCCTTCTGCTATAAGGGATTCCTTTAAACCGTCTACAAACTATCTTTAACTTAAAATGAGCAGAAATATAGTTAAAAAATGTGGCCTCCCCTACTTGTTCAACATCTGTTTCTTCTGCATCAGCTTCTCCATCTCAACCTCCACTTCATTCATAGGCTGCTGCTGCTCCTGCTGAATTCCACTTCTGTTGGGGGAGAAATTGGGACGTCTACTCTTCCGCATCAAATTCACCTAGAATGCAACCACTTTTTTATTACGGATTAAACTAGTTTTAAAGATACAATTTCGGTACAAGTATGATAGTTGGGTTCCTTAAAATAAGATGGGACCCTTGGGAAAAAAAGTTTAGGCCTTAAAATCTTACAAAACATGGTTCGCATTTGTTTACTTGAGTTTTTGTAACTTTCAATAAATTTTGGGACCCATCTTTCATACTTGCTTTTTCCTGGGACTCAACTATCATTTTTGTACCACATTTTTTTGCAACATGAACTTGTTCTACTTTTGCGATGAACTGAAAGAGTTGCGAATATGCTATGGAGATACGTTAGTTCCAACCACACAGCCGTTCACTATTGTTGCAATATATATAGACTACTGACTTCTTCGTTCTTCCTCTTGAGTATCTTCTGCTGTTGGTCCAACTTGGTCTCCAACTCCTTCACTTTGTGTGTGTTGGCAATCATGCCCTTCTCCATCACACACTTCTTGTCAGTCTCCTCCTTCAGTCTCTTCTGCACTTGGTCATACTGCGATCTCATCTTCTGCAGCTCCACCGTCAAGTCAGACACCTTCAAATTACACCAACAACGAATAGATACTAGCTCATTACGCCAAAAAGCACCAGCGAAAAACGGCAAAACTCTGGAAGAAGGAGCTTCATTAGCAAATAAATTGCTTCGAAAAGTTTATAAATTAAATGCTGAAATAACAAGTCAAACTATTCTTCAGAAACAGAAGAGCAAAACGAAGAGTCAGAAACGGGAAAAACTAAAAACGAACAAATCAGTTTTGGTATAAATTAAGATAACTTTCTCGCTGGCTACGAGAATTGTAGTTAAGCAAACGTGAATAAGAGTGGTTTTGAAATTCTGAGTCAGATCACCTTTTTGTCGACTTGATTCTGAATAGAAGCTGCTAGGTTAACTCCATCTTTGCTGCTACCGGTTCTCTTTCCACTTGAAGCCCCGCTGTTCTTATTGGGCGTATTAGTATTAACACTGTCACCAGATCCCGAGTCTTCTTTCAGCAACTTCTTCGCCGATGAAGCCTCTTTCCCTAGCACCAATGATTCAAACCTTCATCAACACAGAGGCTAAGCGGAGCTTCGCACCACTTGCGATAAAACGCAAGTGTAGCATTGCAAGCTAGCGAATGGAAAATGAGACGGAAATCAATAAACCGAAATATTTGAAAAAAAAATCACTTTCAAAAAATATATCTACCGAGCGACCACTAAGCCGACAACACTAAGGTAGACGCTCAATGAGCCGAAAATAAACACAAGGCTATAAGAAATTGTTGCCCTAAAAAAATTTTCAGCGTATCAGTTATAAAACTATTATACAACAACCGTCCTAAATAAGTAGTTCTTTTGCTGATAAATTTTTGTCCTTTAAAAGACACAAACTAAGTTGACTAAGCCGACAGCTAAAGCTGAAGCCATTATAATCACAGTTGGTGAATAGCCGAAACAACAATACCACTGTCAATTAGAGTAAGAATTGTTTAATTCAGAAAAAAACTCCATGCTTCCGAAATTCAGCCTACAAAAAAATTGCAGAGAAACGCAAATCCTAAAATTCAATTTTTCCCGGGAAAAAATTAATCTCATGCATGCTGGAAAATGTTAACGACTAAAGATTATGTATATTAATTATATTAACTATACACAAAGGCGAAGCCGCGCTTCGCAAATAATAGCGAGAAAACGACAAAAAAGTAACTCTATTCAGTGAAATAAGAAAAAGTAGACATAAGCCTCGAATTAGTAAAACTATTGCTACGTTCCAGATTCCAACAAACTACCTCGAGATTCGGAGTATCACGTCCTTCCCTCTCGGCCACGGAAGCTTATCGATCTGCAAGCAATCAATAGCCAGAAATAAAGCAGAGATCAGATGCAATGGAATTTCCAATGCGACAAATCGTGATTATAGCACAAGTGGCACCAAAAGAGCACTTTCATTTGCGAGTTAGGTTGGAACGCAAGTAGAGTCATTCTTGTACACTACACTAGCTATAGTAAATAACCAGCGCTTTTAAACCTATTACCCCTGTGGAAAAATTATAGACTAGCAAAAAAATATCTGGCTCTGAAAAAATGTGGTCAGAACTTTCCTGTTTTTCGGAGTAAATTAAATAGAGGAATTGACAAAAGGAACTACTCGTATCAATACAAGCCATTTTGATTTTGTTTCTGCAATTGGTGAAAATGCGAAGTTTTTTTTCAATCCAAATGATAAAAAATGTCGGATCTCGGAAACTGAAAAAGACAACAGTCCAATTTGGAGGCAAGATTTGCAACCCATGAGTGTACCTTGACAGCACCTAACTACAGGGTTAAGAATTTCAACTAGTGTGTCGGAAACTATTTTTTAAATCCATTGTGCCTGAGACTGACATCGCCACACTAAGGTGTTGGGAATTTCAAAATTTGGGAAGTTCATATAACACAAAGAGTTTAGGATGCCAAGCTCGCATCCCCTGAAATAACCCTAACAGCACCCTCATAGGGTTGCTCATTTCAAATTTGGCGAAATAAACACTGAAAATAAAATTTTGCATTGTGAAATCAGGAAAAAATTAGACTTCGCGCTCCAGCAGACTTTAAAATGTCGACTTCAGTAACTATTTCAACCGTATTAATATATTTAGCTTTTAATAGGTCAACAGAGACCTCTAAACATGTGTCAAAAGAAACTGAAAATCGAAAAATTTTCATAAGCTTTAAAAAATACATTAGTAGCTTTTTCAGAATACGGTCCTAAAAAGTATCTAGCTATCCTTGTTTTTATTTAGATATTCCTGGTCGTAACCAGGGGCGGATCTAGGATTTACTCGAGGGGAGGGGGGGGGTTGGATTTGGTCAGCTTTTCTGCGTCGCAGGCAAATTTTTGAAAAAACAGGTTAAAAAAGCCGTTCTTGGGAACTTTTTGAAAAATGTTGACAAAAAAATCGCGTTTTTTTGGCGCGCGCTCCCCCTGAAAGTTAGTATATATTGGCGCCAAATGCGCCTTTAGAAAAATTTTAGAGTCAGTCGGCCAACAATGGATTTCTTAAAAAGTACCAAAGAGGTGACCCTTTGCGTCGGCAGGGGGTCGAATACCTGAGGGGGGGGGGCCTAAATCCGCCCATGGTCGCAACAATCTGTAGTATTATTACAGTACCCGGATATCTTTGTCTTAAAAAAATCAAAACAAATCTTTTACCGTTGATGATTTCAAAACAATTACCACTTTTTGAAGAAAAACTAATGTTTACCTGTTTTAATCATTTCACGCATCAACTCTTCTTTCAAACGAATGGCCAACGCCAGTTCTCTCATTTTCTTGTTAGCTTCTTTAATCTGTCCATTCGCCTTTTCAATGTCATCTTTCGAATAGTTCGCACTCGCTCTCAGACTGTGGATTTCTGGCAGCTTCAGCAGCTGCTGCATTGTGGTTGTACTGAAGACTGGTTTCTTTGAATTCAGTTGAGGTCTTTTGGGGTTTGAGGCCGCCTTCACTTTCGAGACTGACCAATTGCTGGTAGGACGCTGCATCGCAACTGCCGACGGCTCCTCATTTGCATTGTTCTTCGATTTCGAGGCTGAGTCATCGTCGAAATTATCTCGAAGCACCTCGTCCCCTAAAAAAGGGTAATCCGATTGTAGGGCTTTTTTTGTTAGATTCATTTTTTTCACTTGGGATTCAGACGTAAAGGTATGTAAGAAATAGTTGTAGAGGTCTGTAAGTCGCAACTCGATTTTAAATTAATTCGAAACTCGAAGGATATTCATTTCAGAACTTTAAATGATCAATTAAGTTAAAAAAATCGACAAACAAAGGATGAAAAATCTAACCTTCTTCCCATTGCGTTGCCAACATTTGCGACTTGGCTCTGAAACTCTGCACAATCTTGTCCATGTTGTACACTGAAGGACTCGTGTGGAAGTTTCTTGCGTCTCCGTGTGAAAAGTTATTTTGGTCAGTCACTCGTCTCACAGGCGCTGATTTGGCAGGACGCGGAAACGACTCCGGGTAATGACTCTGCGCACCCTGACCTTGACTTACCATCACTTCTATCGATCTTTTCTGCTCATTGACCATCTTCTGCAACTCAATAATTACATCCTGTTGCTCTCTGATATGATTCTTGCATGTTGTCAGTTCCTGGCGCATTTTCTGGTTCTCTTCCTGCAGCTGTTGCTCTCTAGTAGTGCTGTCATTCAATTTAGCATTCAGAGCACTCATCTCTTGAGCTTTCTGGTTAAAAATCTGCTCATCCAATGCCAAATCGTTTGTCAACTGCTTCACTTGGCCTCGTAATTGTTCTACTTTCGAGGCCACTAGCTGGTCCATTTTCGGAATCTCCACTTCTGGATCGGTAAGACCATGATTCCAGTTTTTCACCTCACGCATGAAATCGTCTTCTGTAATTTCCTGAGCTACTTTTTGGTCCATCAAATACTTGGCGTATAAAATGGCATCCTTCAACCTGTGTTCTGTATTTGCTGCACTTTCTAACTTGCTCTCAAGAGCAGTAACGTTGTCGTCATTTTGAGTTTGGTGACTTGTTTTGGAAGACTTTTCGCGCTGCAGCTCTTCCTTCAGGGACATTATTTCCGATTGGAGTGCTTCGAACCGCATGCTTTGCGAATCGCGATTCACTATCGGTTTGTTTCGGATATTCTTTGCGCGGTTAGCATACTTCAACGAATTCAGACTCTCGTCAAAGTTATTGAATGTTGGCGAAACACAAGTTATCATGACCGTATTCGAATTCCCACCCAAAGAGTCTTTCAACAGGCGGGTAATTTTGGCATCCCTATACGGTATGTGTCCCGCTTTTCGTTTGTTGTCGCTTAGAGCACTGATCACATTTCCTAGAGCGAGTAAACCAGTGTTGATATGAATCGATTCCTTGAATCTCTCTCCGATGTTCCCAGTTTTGGAGGCCCTCTCGCTTCCTGCCAAGTCTACAAAATGTATCTTCGAGGATAAACAGTCGATTTCAGAGCCACTTGAGTTATGAGAGGAGGGGGGGTCACTTCTTCGTTCTAGAATGAGAGTGAAAATGGAGTGAGAGCGACTTGAGCGTTCGTTCATCTGAGTCGCTTCTGTGCGTCTCATCGTCGCTCCCAACTCGGCGTACTCTAGCACCTAGAACAAAAAGTACTGTCAAAGACGCAATTTAAAAAGTATTCCACGATTTTTTTTTATTCGCCTTTATCTTTCACGATCAACTAAACATACGACCACTAAAGCAGCAGCTTTTTACTCAAGTGAGTTTTGTTCAACCCGATGAGCCCAATTTCACAGAGGCAAAGCTGAGCTTCACAACACTGGCTATACAAAAATGAATGACTATGAATGAAATCTAAAGAAAAAAAAACATTCAAAATTGGAAAAAACTTCAAAAAATGGTTTTGTCAAAAAAAGTATGAAAAATGCACAAGCCAAACAAATCCGGAATAGAATAACCTGAACCATAAGAAACTTTCAAAGCAGCTTTCTAAATTCTAGAAAAAAGACAAATGTTCAAAAAAATTTCCTTTCTAAACCGACAAAAATAAGCAGACAGACAATAATCTAAACACAGTTAAAGCGAAGTTTCGCATCACTTGCGATAATTCAATATTTTTCGGAATTTTTTATATAATACTGAAAAATAACAAGGTCCGGTCGGGACTCAAACCCAAAACTTAGGGTGCAGAGACAACCGCGTTACCTCTAGGCCAAATGGGAAGCAGGTTGAAAGTTGCTAAGGCTCCTTAATGAAGTAACTTCAACTTTCACCTTCAGATGTAAGAATAACTGTTTACAGGGAAAAAGTCTTCCAGATTACGAGACACTTGCTAATCGCAAGGGTAATCAAACCCCAACTTCAATTCAAAACTGCCTCAAGAACTGATCAAGCAACTGATCAAACTCGTAGTAGATGGATGATGTTCCGAGGCCTATTTTTATCCGCACTCCTTGATCACCAGGCAGAGACGTATCAGAAGCCAAAAAATGCCTGGGGATTTTCGAGAATTTGTCGCACTGTGGTTAGCCATGAAAACTGAATCGCATATACTCTATACTGAGACCCGTTCTCGCGAATATATGTTTTAATCTAAGTAGCAGCGAAGCAGTACTTCACGTGCAAAGCAAAAAACGGAAAAGGAGCTCTATAATTTCAAGAAGCTGAAGCGGATATAACTGATGCTGTTTGAATGAAGCTTAAACTTCGTAATTAAATGTGCGACTTGAGTTGAAAAAGTGGCTTCGCGATATTTGAAAGACAATTTAAAAAAACAACTGTTTACCTCCTCGGCACTGGAGCAGGAGACTTCCCGAGCATTGATCACAGTCGTGTTTCCTTTCTCGTCCTCTCGGATGTGGAGGTTCTTGAAGGGGTAGTTCTCACTATCCAGCAAATCATGCAACTCCTCTTTGTAGATCTCAATGAAGGATACCTTCACCGAAAACTGGTGATCTTTCTCCTAGCACAAAATACCAAATAAGATAACACTGCTGCGTTTTGCTAAGCGAACTCTGTAAAAGCGGCAACAAAGAGCGATTAAAAAGGCGATCCCAATACTCGCTCCACTTTACCCTGCAACCTAATTTCACCGAAGCTATATAATAGCTCTGCTTGTAATAAAACTTTCAACCTTCCAATTATGCATTCACAATTGAACTCCCTTCGTTGATTAACATATGAAATTTACGACAATCATCTTTCAAGGTGACGCCCAACAAAAAATTGTAAATTATGACTGCTGTTTCTGCTACTATTAGTTGGCTAACCTGGCTGACAGAATCCATTTCTGCGAAGATGAAGTCGATCGAGCGGGGAACTATTCCCACATGAGATTCGTCATCCGACTCTCCTTCTATCGTGTGTGTCTTGCCCGACCCAGTTTGTCCATAGGCGAAGATAGTCCCGTTATAGCCTTGTACAAAAAACCCTTTCGTTCTCAACATATTTATGCCACGACTAGGTTTCTTTGTCAGCTTGAATTTTATGAAGCAGAACAAAGTTTGCACAAATTAACATGACATTTTGAGGTAATCAAACAAGGCGAAGATACACTTTTCATACACAAGCGAAAAACGACACAAACGCGCTCTTAAAGCTCCGGAAACACAGTTGTAAGCCTATAAGAAAACAAACTAGAAAAAAATGTCACTAATGAATGCACTTTAATTATGCCGATACAGCTCACGTATTAAAAATAACGCACAATCTGTGGAAAGCTTAGGTTAAAAAATACAAGCTTACGTGCCGGCCTCGCAATACAACACAAGTTCCACTTGTTTAATGACTGGCACTGACCTTGGAAGCACTGTTTGATCAAGGGGACACAGAGTGTCTGGAACACGTCTACTTGGTCACTGTCAGGCGGGAATATATAGTCGAACGTGAAGGCCCTGTCTTTGCCCAGAATGATCTGTTTCCTGTCCGGCTGAACCCTAATGCACAGTTGGTCCACATTCTCCCTACCCACCAGCGGCCTCAGCCTCACAGCTACCTTCAGGGGAACCTCATGCATTCCAGTCATTCCAAATCATTAAATTCATCTGAAATTCAATCCCGAACTATCCAATCAGTTTCACTAGCGCGTAACGCTCAAAAAATTGCATATATCGAACTAAAAAAGGCATATAATAGGCAGGGTAGGTAATTTCAATTTGTGCAAGTTCTTTATTCAAGTTTTTTAATTTTGAAAAACAATAAAATTTTGTAAAGTTTCTTTATATCTAAGTTCTTTGGAAAATTATAAAATTACATAAAAAAGTCACATGTCGGAAACTAAAAGCATTTGAGCAGTCAGGAATTTCGAGAAACTTCAAATTTAAGTTTTCTGGATTTTTTTAAATAACCATAAAAAACGTCATCTCTAGAAAACGACAAAAATTTGAGCAGCTATATTTGCAGCAAAATTGGCAACCCCTGAGAGCACTCTGACAGCCCCCAACTACAGGGTTGGTAATTTCAAACTTTTCAAAAATTTTAAATTTAAGTTTTGAGTTTTTTTTTTAAATCACTAAAAATTTCATTGTCGATAAACACAAGGATCTGCGCTGTCATATTTGGAGGCAAGGTTCACAACCCCTGGGCGTTTCAAATCTTTTAATTTTTCTAAATCTAAGTTTTCTAAAAAACTAAAATTAATCATAAAACACGCCGTATCTCGAAAACTACATGGCTTTGAGCAGCCATATTTGGAGGCAGGATTTGCAATCCCTCATGGTAACCTGACACCAGCCAACTACAAGGTTGGTAATATCGAAATTTGTAAACTAATTTTTAATTTGAGTTCGCTGAAAATTTATGAAAAAATCATGAAAAATCGTTGTATCTCGTAAGCTAAAGGGATTTGGGCGATCATAATTGAAGGCAAAACTCGCAACTCCCGCGAAAATCATGACAGCATCTCAAAATTGGGTTGCTAATTATAAAAATTCGGTGAAAAAAACTGAATTCAAACTATAAAATCGAAAAAATATATATATAAAATGAAAAATTACTTTCGTTAAATATGCAAAAATATAAGGTTGAAAAAAAAATAAAACGTGGCGAGATAAAGAAGCCCGTATTTAAATATATAATAGATAGATACAGGTGACGGAAAATCATCATCGTAAATGAAAAAAATATATCTTAAAATTGCGACCGATCAATTGCAGGTTAATGAATCTTCAATACTCAGAGCTGGCGTTTTTCTTAAATCACACATTTTTTACAATGAGAAAGATTTTTTCTATTCGTTGTTTCGCACAACGATTAACTTTTCTCAATGAAATACTTGCCGGGAATCCAAAATTAAAGACTTAAGTCTACCTCTTTTGATAGTCGACTAATGATTTATTGTTCCGTCTTTCGAAGAAAGTGACGGAAGATTTGTGCTCGAGTGTTTTTTCTCCCGATTATTTAACTAGCAACTTGCGACGCAATTTTTTTATATGATTCAAAAAAGTTGTTGTTCTGAGCTGAAACTTAAGAGATTCACCTGTGATCATTTTTTGTTAACTTATGGAGTTTTGAACATCGCCAATTTGTCCAGTTTGAGACAATTAACGCGCGATACATTAATTGATGCGTAAGCAGAGAATCTATCCCTCTTAAAATCTTTCTAAAATGAATTGAGGCATGTTGTTTGGTATAATTAATTTTTTGCTATGAGCTTATTATATCATTGTACTTTACAGCGTGTGGGGTATGATTTTTGTTTTAGAATACCTTTTTTTTGAAAATTTTATCATTTTCTAAAACAAAAACTCTTCCATAGACCTTAAAAGGCAGTCGAAACAATCAGGGTTTCATCGTGATACAAGCAGCCCTGTTATTTTAGAAATTCACACAGAGTTGAAGTTCCACTTCGCATACACAAGCAAAAGTACGGCCGATAAAGCTACTGGGAAAAACTGAATGAGTATAACTTTGAGTCTAGAAAATTTCTTAAGTGACGCACGCCAATTATAAGTCTAAATAATTGCTAAAGGACGCGGGTCAATTATGACGCATTAGCAGTACGAGTCAGTTTGCAAAAAAAATCTTACCAACTAACATACTCAAAATATAGAGCGGACGCATTTTAACTAGTAAACGAAAAAGTTCATTAAAAACATCCGACCTTCCGAGGTTCGAACCCTCTTATTTTGCTGTGGGTGTCCTTCCGTACCTCTACGCTACAGATCCATGATACCTTGAATCTAAAATTCTATTTGTAATATAATAGTCTGTGTTAATATCCTTAGCATTGGCTGTACTTAATATCCGGTTATTGATCAAAATGAACACATTTTATCGCAACAATATTTGCGTCGCAACAATATTTTCGACTTAGTGTGGAAAACTAAAGACATTTCATTCCATAACACACTTGGATAAACAGTAACAAGGGACGAAAATAAGATGATCGAAAATAAGGTATTCCCCCATATTAAAAGTCATTCGGAAAATTGTATAAGTTGGAGCCCCAGAGAAAATATTTGTACACAGAGGCGAAGCTGAGCAATACCCCATAAACATACCATTGTAAACTATCGGACAGAAAACGAAGCAGAAGCTTAATGTCAATAAGAACTTTCCACAAATGTCAAAAACACATCTACAAAAAATTCATTTGTTTATCTCGGATGATGTTCAATTTGAGGAAAAAATGTTAAAAAACACAATCGGCTCTATTAAAAATCCAAATTTCCGCTATTAAAATTTGAAATTTTACGGCATCGCCCTTTTGAGAGCAAAAGAATAAATCTAGCCCTAGCCCACATACGAATTGAGACTTGTGAAAAAACTCAGGAAATCGGAAAAAAGCGAACAGTTGAAAAAATGTTTCAACTTTTGGCAAAAAAATATATAGCATGTGTTTGAATTCAAAGCAATCTTTATCACTGGCCGTTTATTCGTACAGTTACCTCCATAAGGAGAAAACTCAAACAGCTAGTATTTCTTGACCTTTACACTTTTTCTGTTCGATAGTGCAGTTTGTCTTCCTTTTAGCAACTTAATAAGAAATCATAAGTCAAACCGCAAAAATCAAATTACTGAGAAAAAAATCACCAAGATCAAAAAGCCTATACTCACTTCATTTTTTTTACCATGAAAAATATTTTTTTCAAACAGCGCAATATCAGAACACAGCCGATGAAACATGAGCCAAAACCATTTACGCCGGAGATTTAAAAAAATCAAAAAATTAAAAAGGAAAAATACAAATCAGTGTTGATAAGTTAAAAAATCAAAACAGGAAAACGTCTAAAAAAAGTTAAAAAAATAGTGAAAACTGCTTAAACCACAGGAAAATTCCGCGCTATGGCAAACAAGCCAATAATGAATAAGCAGACAAACAGTCAGTCTACATTTTTTTTCTTCAAAAGAGTCTGGATTCGAGCTTTGAAATTTTAGCGTCCCAGGCGTGGACACAATCACTGGTTTATGAGTGCCAAAAGTAACATGGAATTCGAACTTAAAATGGAAACAAACGAAATGATTCATTGATTCTATTACACAAGATAATTGTTGCATATTCGCCCAGGCAGTCGTTTCTTTCGGCCTGCCAATGCAAGCAGAAGAACAGAAAGTGCTCCGCCGTCTCTGGGGCGTTGTGGCAGTAGGGGCATGTTTCCGTCTCCTCTCGTCCGTAACGGAAGAGGGTGTCTTGAAGTTGAGGGGCTCTGTTTACACGGAGTTGGAACAGGGTGACTTCCTCCTCTCTCGGTCTGTTGACGGAACGGGGGAGCGTCTCTCCTCCCGTAGCGCGGGCATAGAATTGATTGTCGTTCACATTTGCGGCATACGATTCTTGATGTCTGGTGTCAATCAGTGTCTTGAGGTAGGTTTTGGTGCAGGTATTCTCGGGTTTTGGTGCAGGTATTTCCGTTAAGTCGTGGTCGATGTTGGAACAGGGCATCTTTTAAATTGTCAACAAGCTCATCCAAAAAATTTTTTTAAATCGGATTCTGCTGCATCTCTAGATGAATCATTAGATGAAACCATCCATCAAGCTTCAAATTGACTGTCATCTGACTGGATGACTGTGGGACAAACACCGATACCTCCAGAACGTTCGCGGGTTTAGACTGTTCAAACAATGGTAATTTTCAATTCGCTTCTTGAACTACTTCAGATGGGTATTACTGCCTCTTTCCGTGTCTTTCGTCTTCCTCCTTTTTCTTTTTTTTTCAAAATTTCTGCTACTGAAGCATCAAATCTGCTGTGTGGATTAATTGCCTCGAACTGGCAGTCAGAACAGTTGATGTAAAATTTCTAATATTTGTGGCTAACATGTTCAAATGTAGTCTCCGTCATTAACCACTGAACCGCTCTCTTCTGCTAACTTTCTTTTGTTTGAACGAATTGGCTCAAACTCTCAGTAATGAAGTTGAAATTTTACAGATTAGTCGAATGTATGAGTAAAACTTTGAGTCTTTACAAAATCTAAGAGACGCACGCCAATTATGACATATTAGTAGTACCAGTCAATTTGAAAACAGATATTTGCCAATTAACATGGCTCAATTGATAGAGCGGACACATTTTAAGTAGTATATGAAAAAGTTCAGCAAACACATCCGACCCTACCCAGGCTCGATCCCTCTTATTTTGTTGCCTGATAGAAATAGGGAAGAAGTCTGATAAAAAATAAGCTGACGGACTTTAGTCTGAAAAACAAGAAAAATGCCTCTTTCACTCAGCTGCACTTACATTCGGCACGAGAGGAATCACAGCTGACACTAATCTGAATTGTTATGCAAAAAAACTAAGCAAATAAAAAAGTAAAGGCTAGTTTACACGTTAGCAAAGATTACAATTCTTCTGCCCATAATCCTAGAGAATGGGATCATAACTTAAGTCTCAATTGCCTACATTTCACTCATGGATCCACGTGAAAATTCAACGAATTAATTAACGGGTTTATAACCTGGTCTCAAGAAATGCTCACTTAAATTTAACTTAAATTTATCTTTTTGCTAGCTCTCAACTAACTCTAAATACTGCTAAACCTTACATTAACTACATCTAACAAAGCTATCGGCTAGCTTTCAGCTATCACTGAACTTTCGTAATCGGAACTGGTCTAAACTTCTCACAATTTCTCTCGTGATTCAGAAACTCGACAGTACTTCTGAATATTTCTCTGCAACTGTTGCATACAAACAGTGACACTTTGGTCTCATTAGTTTCCTCTAGCTGACGCCTTCTTGCTTCTAGAACATTCTCATCATAAGAGAGCATCGATTCTTCCGAGGAGTGGACCGACGCATCTTTATCTAGAATCAGAAAGTCCTCGTTTAAAGCGTCAGTTCCTTTTGTCGATTCAACCTCCATTACGTCAGACGATTTATCAGCTCCTTTTTGTGACTTTTTTGCACGTCCTCGTTTACCTTTTCCAGGACCTTCCTTTTCAATCGCGGTATCCAAATTCTGGTTCCTCTTCTCAGATGATCGCGTCTTCATCACTTCCACCTCTTCGCCTTCGAGTGATTTTCTCTGCTTCTTGGTCTTTTTCGGCGGTTTCACTGCTTTTGCCTTCGCTTTTGCGGCTGCAACGGCCGTGTTTGTTTTGAGAATCGGATGTATAATTTTCGGCTTTGGCATAGCAACCCTCGGAGCCGGTGGAGCGTACGTTCGAATCTTTACCTGGGTCGGCATAGCAAGCCTCTCTTTCTTCTGTTTAGCTGCCTTCTTTTTCTTCATTTTCGCCTCCACCAGACGGTTTTTCCACGCCTTCAGTGCCACAGAGTCAATGTTCAGCCTTTTTGCAGTGATCGAAACTCTTCCTAAATAAGATATTATAATTATAAACAAGACAGCACTATTACTGTTTCAAAATTCATTTCCACCATGAAAGTGTTGTTTATTGACAAAAAAAGCCTGTCTCGTATTTTATCCAGCATAGGTTCTCATATGACACTAGGCTCAGAAAAAGGAAATTCAGAAGAAAGAAATAAATGAAACGTCAACATTCTTTATTAGTTACGAACACTTCCTGAAAGCTTAAATTGATTTTTAAGACTTGTATTAATTTGAAAATGCTTTAGCCCCAAACCCCCCCCCCCCCCCCGGTTTTTGTAACTAAGTACATAAATCGCATACGATTAGCTGTTTCTAATGATGCAAGGTTCGATGCAAGGTGCTTAAGACGCACAGACAGAATTAGTTGAAAATATTATTCTGCCGATTCTGAACGAACTCATAAAGCTAGTTTGAAATTTAAGGCAACCTTGAGACACAAATACTGAGTGAAAAAGGAGAGTTCATTTGTTTATTCTAATTATCTTTGTCTGTGCGAACTTCTGGTAACTCTCAGAGTGACTTACCTCCATCTACAAGGTACTCTGCCACTTTGGACTGGAACTGATGAGAGTACAGTCCAGGTGACACTTCATCGTGTATGTCAAATATCTTCCGCTGTTGGACCAGTTCCAACACTTCCTGCTGCTGCATGTGAATCAAGTCATCCAAAGCTTGCTCGTCCAGAATCACATGTTCCGGATGGTTCAGTCTATCGTTCGCAATGGAGTTGTTGACATCCGATGCAGTGGACTGCATGTCGGAGAACATTGAATCTTCTGTGGAATCATCGTTTACGAATGATCTGCAATACTCATCAAATCACTTCTTTGTAAAAATTTCACTTAGTAATCTGGATAAAGACTCATGTCACTATTACAGCACGATCGTGTTATTTTGATGATAAACATTTAAATTGAACTCGCGGCTTTCCCTCCCAAATAAAAATTAGCCAACGCATCACCAGAATCATAAAATAGTGTTTTTTCCACAAACAGCAAAAATGTAGAGCATGTTCGAAGTTTGTGGCTCAATATAACAAGAGACCATCAACTATGCATGAATGAAGTGGAGCTTCACCTCACTTGAAGTAAAGCAGAAAATATTGAGCATCCTAAAAAAAATCCTGAGAACTGCTATACTGATTGCTTGAAGACCTAAGAGAACTGTTAAGGGAAAACCTTTCTGTGTAATTCTATACTATATGCTTGATAAAAATAATTTTTCTTGTTTCTAACAACTTATGTTTCTACCAAAAAAACGGAGCCATTTCCAACAATAACCGCAAAAAAAATCAAACAAACTGAAGCAGAAGCAAATTTTGTATCTCTTGCGCTAGCTACATCACAGAAACAGCAGCAAACCGAAAACACGAAACCCACTTTTCAAAAAAAATGATGAGAGCAAGGCAACCGCCAGTGTTAAAAAGAGGCCAAGCAACATTGTGTAGAAGCCAGTTAAACCGAAAACAAAATTCTGAATATCAAAGTTTTACGCCACAATCCTTCTGAAGCACACATAGTACAACAAAAAAATATATTTTCCTTTAAAAAGGGCGAAAAATGAGGTAACTTGGTCAATATAGCATCTCACCTATTTGAGTGAAGAAAGATAGTAAACTTTTTTTTCCACGCATGGAAGTATAATCGGTCCGGCTGGTACTTGAACCCTATTCCTTAACCACTAAATAAGCCTGTTTTGCATCTAGAAAAGATCTTGAGGTTCCATACTACCACAAAATATGCATACAATTACACATCACAAAAATAACGTCCGGCGGTGGCTATGACACCAGACATGTCGCCTGTAAGCAAAGTTGTTGGAGGAAAAGTCTGAATCCCAAGTAGAATTCACTCGCCAATGAAAAAAGTATTGCTAACTTAATTAAAAAGCGGTAATTTAGCAGACATATTTTGTATTCCCCCATATTAAAAGTTATTCGGAAAATTGTATAATTTGGAGCCCCAGAGAAAATATTTGTACACAGAGGCGAAGCTGAGCAATACCCCATAAACATACCATTGTAAACTATCGGACAGAAAACGAAGCAGAAGCTTAGTGTCAATAAGAATTTTCCAAAAATGTCAGAAACACATCTACAAAAAATTCATTTGTTTATCTCGGATGATGTTCAATTTGAGGAAAAAATGTTAAAAAACACAATCGGCTCTATTAAAAATCCAAATTTCCGCTATTAAAATTTGAATTTTTACGGCATCGTCCTTTTGAGAGCAAAAGAATAAATCTAGCCCTAGCCCACATACGAATTGAGACTAGTGAAAAAACTCAGGAAATCGGAAAAAAAGCGAACAGTTGAAAAAATGTTTCAACTTTTGGCAAAAAAATATATAGCATGTGTTTGAATTCAAAGCAATCTTTATCACTGGCCGTTTATTCGTACAGTTACCTCCATAAGGAGAAAACTCAAACAGCTAGTATTTCTTGACCTTTACACTTTTTCTGTTCGATAGTGGAGTTTGTCTTCCTTTTAGCAACTTAATAAGAAATCATAAGTCAAACCGCGAAAAATCAAATTACTGAGAAAAAATCACCAAGATCAAAAAGCCTATACTCACTTCATTCTTTTATCATGAAAAATATTTTTTTCAAACAGCGCAATATCAGAACACTGAGCCGATGAAACATGAGCCAAAACCATTTACGCCGGAGATAAAAAAAATCAAAAAATTAGAAAGGAAAAATACAAATCAGTGTTGATAAGTTTAAAAATCAAAACAGGAAAACGTCTAAAAAAAGTTATAAAGATAGTGAAAACTGCTTAAACCACAGGAAAAGTCCGCGCTATGGCAAACAAGCCAATAATGAATAAGCAGACAAACAGTCAGTCTACATTTTTTTTTTCAAAAGAGTTTGGATTCGAGCTTTGAAATTTTAGCGTCCCAGGAGTGGCCACAATCACTGGTTTACGAGAGCCAAAAGTAACATGGAATTCGAACTTAAAATGGAAACAAACGAAACGATTCATTGATTCTATTACACAAGATAATTGTTGCATATTCGCCCAGGCAGTCGTTTCTTTCGGCCTACCAATGCAAGCAGAAGAACAGAAAGTGCTCCGCCGTCTCTGGGGCGTTGTGGCAGTAGGGGCATGTGTCCGTCTCCTCTCGTCCGTAGCGGAAGAGGGTGTCTTGAAGTTGAGGGGCTCTGTTTACACGGAGTTGGAACAGGGTGACTTCCTCCTCTCTCGATCTGTTGACGGAACGGGGGAGCGTCTCTCCTCCCGTAGCGCGGGCATGGAATTGATTGTCGTTCACATTTGCGGCATACGATTCTTGATGTCTGGTGTCAATCAGTGTCTTGAGGTAGGTTTTGGTGCAAGTATTCTCGGGTTTTGGTGCAGGTATTTCCGTTAAGTCGTGCTCGATGTTGGAACAGGGCATCTTTTAAATTGTCAACAGGCTCATCCAAAAAAAAATTTTTAAGTCGGATTCTGCTGCATCTCTAGATGAATCATTAGATGAAACCATCCATCGAGCTTCAAATTGACTGTCATCTGACTGGATGACTGTAGGACAAACACCAATACCTCCAGAACGTTCGCGGGTTTAGACTGTTCAAACAATGGTAATTTTCAATTCGCTTCTTGAACTACTTCAGATGGGTATTACTGCCTCTTTCCGAGTCTTTAGTCTTCCTCCTTTTTCCTTTTTTTTCAAAATTTCTGCTACTGAAGCATCAAATTTTCTGTGTGGATTAATTGCCTCGAACTGGCAGTCAGAACAGTTGATGAAAAATTTCTAATATTTGTGGCTAACATGTGAAAATGTAGTCTCCGTCATTAACCACTGAACCGCTCTCACTTCTGCTAAGTTTCTTTTGTTTGAACGAATTGGCTCAAACTCTCAGTAATGAAGTTGAAATTCTACAGATTAGTCGAATGTATGAGTAAAACTTTGAGTCTACATAATTTTTAAGTGACGCAAGCCAATTATGACATATTAGTAGTACCAGTCAACTTGAAAACAGATATTTGCCAATTACTTTGCCTCAATTGATAGAGCGGACACATTTTAAGTAGTATATGAAAAAGTTCAGTAAACACATCCGACCCTACCCAGGCTCGATCCCTCTTATTTTGTTGCCTGATAAAAATAGGGAAGAAGTCTGATAAAAAATATGACTTACCTCCATCTACAAGGTACTCTGCCACTTTGGACTGGAACTGATGAGAGTACAGTCCAGGTGACACTTCATCGTGTATGTCAAATATCTTCCGCTGTTGGACCAGTTCCAACACTTCCTGCTGCTGCATGTGAATCAAGTCATCCAAAGCTTGCTCGTCCAGAATCACATGTTCCGGATGGTTCAGTCTATCGTTCGCAATGGAGTTGTTGACATCCGATGCAGTGGACTGCATGTCGGAGAACATTGAATCTTCTGTGGAATCATCGTTTCCGAATGATCTGCAATACTCATCAAATCACTTCTTTGTAAACATTTCACTTAGTAATCTGGATAAAGACTCATGTCACTATTACAGCACGATCGTGTTATTTTGATGATAAACATTTAAATTGAACTCGCGGCTTTCCCTCCCAAATAAAAATTAGCCAACGCATCACCAGAATCATAAAATAGTGTTTTTTCCACAAACAGCAAAAATGTAGAGCATGTTCGAAGTTTGTGGCGCAATATAACAAGAGACCATCAACTATGCATGGGGGTGGATATTTTAAAATTTTAAGGTGTAGCAAAACTCGTCAAACGTGCACACATTGCTTGAATCATAATTTTGGAAAAAAAGAAGTGGAGCTTCACCTCACTTGAAGTAAAGCAGAAAATATTGAGCATCCTAAAAAAAAATCCTGAGAACTGCTATACTGATTGCTTGAAGACCTAAGAGAACTGTTAAGGGAAAACCTTTCTGTGTAATTCTATACTATATGCTTGATAAAAATAATTTTTCTTGTTTCTAACAACTTATGTTTCTACCAAAAAAACGGAGCCATTTCCAACAATAACCGCAAAAAAAATCAAACAAAATGAAGCAGAAGCTAATTTTTTATCTCTTGCGCTAGCTACATCACAGAAACAGCAGCAAACCGAAACCCACTTTTCAAAAAAAAATGATGAGAGCAAGGCAACCGCCAGTGTTAAAAAGAGGCCAAGCAACATTGTGTAGAAGCCAGTTAAACCGAAAACAAAATTCTGAATATCAAAGTGTTACGCCACAATCCTTCTGAAGCACACATAGTACAACAAAAAAATATATTTTCCTTTAAAAAGGGCGAAAAATGAGGTAACTTGGTCAATATAGCATCTCACCTATTTGAGTGAAGAAAGATAGTAAAATTAGAAATTACAAAGGTTTTCAGCTATTGTTATGATTGGAGAAAAACTTGACGAAAAATAAGTTACCAGACAATGTTGACGCGATGAAACAAAAAAAAAACTTTTTTTTCCACGCATGGAAGTATAATCGGTCCGGCTGGGACTTGAACCCAATTCCTTAACCACTAAATAAACCTGATTTGCATCTAGAAAAGATCTTGAGGTTCCATACTACCACAAAATATGCATACAATTACACATCACAAAAATAACGTCCGGCGGTGGCTATGACACCAGACATGTCGCCTGTAAGCAAAGTTGTTGGAGAAAAAGTCTGAATCCCAAGTAGAATTCACTCGCCAATGAAAAAAGTATTGCAAACTTAATTAAAAAGCGGTAATTTAGCAGACATATTTTGAATCGAAAATTGTGTAACAAACTAAAAATTTGAGCTTTAAATACAAAAGCGAAGCGGAGCTTCGAACCACTGCGATGCAAATGAAATTGCGATGCAAAAAAGTTCAAAAGATAGGTCTCAAACGAAAAGTGAAAAAAATATGTATTGAAGAAAATGTATGCTAAAATATGAAAAAAAAAATTTATTTCAATTCTTTTAGAAATCAATTACCTGAAACATTAGAAGGATTCGAGCTACACAAACTCAATTCATTTCCCTCTCATAACAACTAGATGATGGAAACGATAAGAAAAAAAACTCGGTCAAAATGATCTAAAAATTCCTAATTGAATTCGAAAACTTTGCTTAAAATTGCAACTAAACAACCTCCATATCCCAGAGGCGAACTTGAGGATAATAAAAATACCAAACTGTTACTTGCTATAAACTAAGGTTAAAATGAAAAACAAAACTGAAAAATTAAAATTTCAATAAAACACTGCAAAAAACGAAAAATTGTCACAAAAATAAATTCTAGAAAACCTAAAACTTTTAACATCTATAAAGACATCCCAAAGACATCAAACTTGCCAAAAAGGAAAAATTGATGAACAAGATTACAACAAAACATACGCCCGTTTATGAAAAAAAAATACAAAAATTCTTTTTTTTTCATAAACATTTCAGTCGGAAAACCCTTGAGTAACGTACGACATTTGCCTTGATCGTTCGTAGACGGAACAGTCATATCAGAATCGCAAAAAAAACTATTCTGGAAATTCATGATTTTTTCTCAAATTTATGAATTTTTATTCCAAATTTATGAATTTTGTTCAAAAAATTTGGCATATCAAAACAGTACGCTGTTAAATTGATTTCAAATGAAATTTATTATTCCAAAACAGACCAAAATAAATAAACCCGAAACAAACTCCAGGCAATTTTAGTAAAACAAACAAACCATACATCCAAAAAAACTGAAAACTAAATTCAAAAAAAAATTAATAACAAAAAAACTCGTTAATTGTTTTTCCATCAGAAATTTTTGGCAAGCTAAAATACCAGAAAACCATGAACTATATCAACCCCTTTGAAAATGAAATAAAAGTATTGAGTATTTGAAGGAAATAGTTACCAAATTATCCAATAAAAAGTATTGAAAGAAAGGTGATACATTTGGTCAAACAATTGTTCAATAAAAATTTAACAAGTTCGAAAAGTTATTTAGGCACCTAACCTCCATAGGTAATATTCAAAGAAGCGGCGTAGTTGCTTGCAAAAACAAAGTGGAAACTAAGCCGACAAAAAATAAATCGAAAGCGACGAAGCCGAAAAATGAATAAGTACCAACATATTATTTTAAAAAACTTTCAACTGCGATTTCTTGGGAAAACACTAATAAGGTGGGAGTAATAGGCCAATGAGCGCAAACAGGACGCATATACTGCATCATTTATATGCATGTGGTTTATACTGCATTCATGTCGTTTATTTAATGCATGCTAATCTGTTATAATATATTGCATGCATAGACAAATTTGTTTACGGGAAAAAAAGTCTAGTACCCCAGTGCAAAACCCTTGCCTATAGAAAGGGTAACTAGCATCGGAACAAGACTTAGGAAGAAGAGTCAAGCCGCGAATCATTAAACAGACGCAAGTTGAGCCGCAAAATGATCTTATAAAATAAAACTTTTAAATTTTCAGTCCCTCTTGAAAGTACAATGATCAACACTTGCACTTGCAGCTCCAATTAAAGTTGCAGGAGGCGCAAGAAATATCCCTCATGTGAGAACTAAGCCAAAAATATTTGAGCAGACACCAATTAAGCCGAAAAATAAAAAGTTCGTTATAAAAATTTCAAACAGTACATGTACCCCAGAAACTACTATGAACAACACTTGCACTTGATTGTAGCAACTAAGCCGACAAGAGTCAGGCCGGGACTCGCAGCAAAATCCGAGGTCAGGACAGCACAAGCAAAATCCGCGATTGTGGCAACTATGCCGACAAAAAGTCAGGCCGGGACTCGAACCCTAGAACCTAGGGTGCAAAGACTACCACGTTACCTCTGACCCAAGTGGGAATGAACCTGGAAAAATTTAAGGTTCAATATTAAATCATATTCGAAATTAAAGAAAAATTGTTCACCGGAAAAATGGCTAGCTCCCGATTACAAGACACCTGCTCTGGCAAGTGTAATTCTTTTGAAAGGACCCCTCTTTATGCCCCCAAGCAAAAATGAATTTCAAACATTTTTTTTCCTTCAAACGACAAATATAGACGCTACTTAAAAAAACACCAGTTGAAACCATTGAATCCCAAGATTTATTTTTATGGTATAATTCTCTGCCAGAAGGGGGTGCAAAAATCTTAAAAATATATCCAACATAGACAATTCTATCTGTGCTATAATCGAGGAGGGTAGATTTTAATTGACAATTCTCTTGATGCATTAATATCGACTTGATTTATTCATAAAATTTTGCCGATGTATTTATATAGCGTTGATACGACCCTATCCAACTTGTGCACGTACCGTCGCATGACGGAAGGGCCCATTTTAATTGCCTTTTTTTATAACATCTTATAGCGAAGTCGAAAAAATAATGAGTTAGTTAGTTTACAAGCAATCATTAAAAAAATGGAATATCCTCTGAGGAGTGCAATCCTCTGCCTTAAGGGGTGCAAAAATCTTAAAAATACATCCAACATAGACAATTCTATCTGTGCTATAATCGAGGAGGGTAGATTTTAATTGACAATTCTCTTGATGCATCAATATCGACTTGATTTATTCATAAAATTTTGCCGATGTAATTATATAGCGTTGGTACGACCCTATCCAACTTGTGCACATACCGTCGCATGACGGAAGACCCATTTTAATTGACTTTTTTATAACATCTTATAGCGAAATCGAAAAAATAATGAGTGAGTTAGTTCACATGCAATCATTTAAAAAAATGGAATATAAACGCGATTCCAAATGTTGACATACTCAAAATTTTTGTGGCCCTGACATTCGACTAAAACAGATAGGCCAACTGCTGCTACGAAAGTGATTTTTTAAACTAGCTGTTAAACTAAAAAAGTATATATTCCGATTTATTGATGCTTGGTTATCGCAAGCGTCCTAATAATGAAACCTGAACACATGGCGGTGCTTGTATGCCAACCGATTTCAGAAAAAGATTATACACAAACTGATGTAGAAACATCCAACGATACAAGTTCGCATACAGAACCACTTGCGATTCAACGCAAATATAGCATGACAGGCTAGCAGTCACAAAATTAGACGAAAACCACTAAGTCGCAAAAAGGTTTAAAAATGTCGAGGAAAGCTCGATCTACCAAAAAACTTCATATCTGAATAAAGTTTACTGTTTCAACAAATAAAAACATGGCACACCTTTTTCAACAACAGGGCAGCGGCAATAATAACGGGTACCCCACGCGGATCGCCAGCAAGCGCGGTCAAGTGCGACGCCATGATTCAGGACATGGACCTGTTCATTGTGGACGGAGCGGCCATGCACATGGTAAGTACCTTGAGCCATCAGAAGACCATCATCTGCGAAAGCTGGCAGATAGAGAAGTCACCCCGAGACTGAAGGCCAGAGCTGAGAACTCCTTCAGACCCGACAGGCGTAGGGTAGCAAGAAACAGGGTAAACGAGCTGCCACAGGGTATGGATACAAGAGAAGCGATCCTGAGAGGAAAAGATGCAAAGAACGCAGAAAGATACCAGACGGAAACACCACCAAACTCAACCCACCGACAAGCTTGCAACTGAGAACATCTACCACGCTCAGTAAAACAGAAAGCGCGCAGAAGAGACGTTTCTGTACAAACTGAGAGTAAATAGAAACATCACTCAATGACACCAAGTACAGATTCCGGCTATCACAGGATCCTATATGCGAGCACTGCGATGGGGAAGAACCAGAAACAACGGAACACTACCTACTGAAGTGCACAAATTGGGACCAGGCCAGAGAACAGCACCTGGGAAGAAACCCAACCTTGACGCTTTTGCAGACGAACTCCAACAACATCATCTTATTCGCAACAAGCACTGGACATTTCAAGTCCCCCAATTATCAAGAGGGCTCCTAAACACACACACACACACACACACATAGCACACCTTTGAAAGTTACATTTGAATCCAAAAAGAAAAAACAACAATTTTTGAGCAGACACTCGTTGAGCTAAAAATGTTTCCGTAAAAAACTTTTCAGCAAATAAATTTTCCCCTCAAAAGACTCACACACAAAGGAAGCATGTTTCGCTCATCCAGCAATGCAATATGATGCCAGCAAGCCGATAAGGTGTAAAAAACGCCAAGCCGAGTAACCAAAAAAAAACAAGATAAATGATATTATACCAAACCGGCGGAGATAATTTTAAAACCAACATTTTGGAGCCGAATATGTAAACCCAACTTTCAAAAAGAATCCGTGCTGCAGGAACTAAGCCTACAAAAATAAAACGATAGTCCGACAAAGCAGGATATTTCAAGATTTCAAGCAGGTATTTCCCCTCTACGCTGAATGGCAGAGTGATTTTGAATTTACACGATTTGCAATTTCACGTGCGTTATCTTGTTGTTTACGGGAATAAAGTCTAGTACCGTTTGCAACACCATTACAAATCGCAATGGTCAACACTCTAATTATTATAACATTTGTCTATGCTTTTGTCTAACGCTTAAGGAACTCGATAGTAAAACTAACCTCCGAGTTTTTTTCTTTTTCGGTGCAACTAAATTTGTAAAATGGGTAGTCCCTTTTTTCAGATTGGAAATTGCTTGATGTCCAATTTTCGGCACAGAATTTTTTCCCGCCTTCATTAGGTTCGAAACAATTTGCGGTTCACAGTTAGATACTTTTTGTTTTTGCTTGCTCGAACATTTTCCTGGTGGCTTCGCGCTGCCATTGTTGTGTACGAATTTCGTTTTAGGCTTCGGCGCAGTAGCAGCCAAAAATGAAAACTTGCTCGCCAGAATTTCTTGTTGGCCTTGGTGACGATCTTGACCGAAGCTCCAGAAAGAGTTACTAGCCATTTTCAACTTAAACTCTAGTTAAACCGTTTGAGCTGGTCGAAACTGTTCGAACACTGTTCACGTAATTTAATACACAAATCAGATTAAGTTTCTAATGACGAACGCTGCTGGACAATTTTTCTCTTAAGTAAAAACATTGCCTGCATGAAAAGGGCCACATGGCAAAGCAACAAGCAGTCAATTTTTCGATAAAGCGAGCGAATTAGGACATTTGTAACATTCGCCCGGAAGATACATATCGACGGATAACAAAACTAAGTCTTAAGACGACTGGCTAGCGTCTAAACAGAGCTTTGCATGTTTTTCACCGTCTCTACCAAGCCAGTACTTTTCGGTGGTCTTTCTTACATCAGGCTGACAAAAACGTTACTGTTCTCCGGCTTCGACCAGAACGCTCAAATTAACTGAATTACATGCAAAATTAGTGAGCTCATGGCTGGGTCTCTGTATCCCCAGACCACGAGGTCACTCCTAAAAACAGGGCTGCTACTTATCATATTACTATTGTTTTTGTTCAGTAGATAAAAATCATCATCTCCATCGAAGATGGATCAACCCTTTCCCCCCAACTCCTAGCACCTCATCCTTGTCAAAACTAATCAAAATATCAGTTAAATTCAAGTCAGGACATGACAGGATGCTAAAATTCAATACAAGTTCATAAAAGTTCCCGTCCCGAGACCCTTCCGGATTCTTGAATCCGGCGAATCAAGCTCCTTAACCTCAGGTTCACGCTAACTCAGAGGGCTGGTTTTTACCCTTCACCGTTGTTCGCAACGGCCTTGCAACTATTGTAACAGCACAATAGTTGCAACTCGGAACGTCCTCTGCTGTTCGGTAGTTCGTTGTTGTTTTTTAGTCTCGATTTTCGTACTGTTCGTAATCGCAGATAAAGTTGTTCTGTTTCTTTCTGCTATTTTAGCCAAAATGGCCGTTTTAACATTTCTCAGAAATGTTACGTCATCACTTCGAAAATTTAAAATTTAGAATTCCAGAATCTTCTAGCCTTCACCGTTTGGCCAATCATTCAAATAACGTCCTTATCCGTTCTAAATCGCCAATCCGGAAGGTTCACTGCTAAAATCCTGAATTCTGCAGAGACTGCATTTTGGCCATTCTGGTCGAATGTCACAATTTTTTTCTTAGAACTAAAATTCAGGCTGTGGGAAAAAGGTCCACATAGCAAAGCAACAAGCAGACAATTTTCATTTCTGAACAATACGAGTATTTCTACAAACAAAAGTGCGAATAAACAAAAAAAATTAACTGTTTCGACCGAAAGCTATGTTTTGAAGTTTTACGTGCCAGTCGGTCATCATGAAAGAAATTTTCGGTTATGTAGCAGTATTTAGACAACCGCGTATTCAGACACTGTATTAACCAATCAGAATTTAGGCAAGAACCAATAAATATTTAGACAAGAAATACTTAGCCTAATTGTTGTGATAAACTTATTAAATAGATTTCTTTGTTCAAATTTACCGCTTGTGTGTTTTCATAGCATATGCGCGCTGGGCTTTCCTCTTCTGGTTATCTTACCAAATCTCGCCGTCCCAGCCGTAGGCGAGTGAAGTTTCCCTGGCGTAACTAGACGCAAGAAGGAGTGAGCTGGTGAATCGACCTCCAAATCGACGTCAGGTTGTACCAATCCTTTTTTTTTTTTTCTCTTTTTTTTCTTTTTTTTATATTTTTTTCATCGCCTTTGCCTCAGCAATTTTAAACCCTAAGTGAAAGTATTCATAAATCACCCCAAAGAGCTTCCTTTCTCGCCCCAGTTGTCTGTGTTTCAGGTTGATGCCGCGATTCCAGGCAAGACGCATCCCTGAGTTCTCACAGAAACTAGTTATCGGGACTTCAAGGACCAAATATATCAAACCAGCTCTAGTAAAATCAACAATTCACTCCTACCGCGGCGCAACGCTTCATGATTTGTTTGAAACAGTTTTACAATACAGACCAAAGCGCCTAAATACAGTAACAATAGTTGCTTGATACAATGACTACAGGCTGCATCCACAAGAATTAGAACAGCAGTGGAAAAACTTGATTAACCTCGTCACTAACAAGTTTCAGCCCAAGTTCGCCAAACCTCAACCTAAATCTAACCCCTCAAATGTTCTGCCGTGATGGCATCCATTTCTCGTTCTACGGTAATGATTTCTTTACAAATTTTCTTGCAAATTTAATCTATAAATTCTCTCGCTAACTTGACACCGCCGTCCTTCCTAAAATGGCTACTCAAACACACTGCCTTATTTGTAAAAGCAGCTGCGAGGCGGAGGTGTTTGGTGCTTCACATGCCCAGGCTACATGCATGTAAAATGCAGCGGCTTAGCCCGCAGCAGTGATCACTATGACGATTTCAGTTGTCATCGCTGCACCTCCCAATTTCATTCAGCTAACGACAAGCATGAATGCAATCCCCCAACCCTAGCTACAACCACGCTCCCCCAAATGCACCCTCACCCTTCCCCTGCCCCACATTCACAAAACTCAGGAGAGTCTTCCACTATAGAACCCACAACAATACAAGTCCCATGGTCAAACCCCTGTCCAGAACTCATAGAAACCACCAGAAAATATACACCGAAGTGGTCCACTGGAAACCGGTCTTTATGATCTTGTCAAAAAATAAAGTTGGTCATAACGTTATTGAAACCCTCAATAGAACTTTGAACAGCCTAATAGAAAACAACGAAAACACCTTCGCAATGCACGCAGCAATGATTTTTCCACACTTATTACTGTGCAAAACAAAGTCCGAAATTGATGGATCTTTATCCAAAGCAATAGCAAGGCGACTTAAGCCATGGCAAGACGGAGGTCTGGATGGACTATATAACGAAGGAAAGGCGCTGCAAATGCGCTTGTTGAAAGGAAGTAGAAGAAAAATTGAAACTGAAGCACAGCAGTTCAACAAACTAATGAACACTGGAAAAATATCAAGCGCAATTGCAAAACTAACAGACACATCTTAAGGCGTTCTTTCGCTCGACGAGATTGTCAAAGGTAAGACAGTTGAACAGACTCTCATAGAGAAACACCCACCATCTGAACCAATTAATGAGAACTATATTACACCTGTCTCAAACGAAACAATTCCTTTCCATCCATCGATATTTGATCAGATAAACGGTCAACATATCAAGAAGGCAGCCATGAGAACGCACGGATCGCATGGACCATCTGGCCTCGACGCGAATGAATGGAGACGTATCCTAACACACTTCGGGCAACAATCAGTTGAAATTTCAAAAACAATTGCTAAAATTGCCAAAAAATTGGCCAAAGAAGAAGTAAATCCAGAACTAATGGAACCATATAACGCATGCAGATTAATACCCTTAGATAAGAATCTAGGGGTAAGACCCATAGGCATAGGAGAAGTTATGCGTAGGATAATAGGGCGAACAATAACTAAATGCCTGAAAAACGAACTCATGTCGCTCGGTTCAAACTACCAACTCTGCCTAGGACAAAAATGTGGCATTGAATATGCGATTTACACGCTAAGAGATCAATGCAGCAAAACTTCCGCCTATGCTGTTTTACTGATAGATGCCGAAAACGCTTTCAACTCGCTGAACCGAAAGCTGGCATTAAAAAACATCGAAAATACCTGCCCTTCCCTTTTAACAGCGATTAAAAACTCCTACTCCAATCCTTCTAAGCTATTCGTTAACAAAAAAAAAACAATCTACTCTCAAGAAGGGACAACCCAGGGGGATCCACTAGCAATGGCCATGTACGGTCTAGCCATAATACCCCTCATAAAACTTTTATCAGTAGACGATGTAACCCAGAAATGGTACGCAGACGACGGAAACGCAGTCGGTAAATTAAGCAATCAACGAACCGTCCTCGATAAAATTGTATCACTGGGTAAATTTTTCGGCTACCACGTGAAAGCATCCAAATGCCAACTCATTGTGAAAGATGAAAAACTCGGTGAAGCTCAGAAAATCTTCACAAAAATACAGGAATCACTATAAAGGCAGGAGCCCGAGTGCTTGGTTCATTTATAGGAACAGAATCTGAATGTAAAAAGTTCCTCGAATTTCAACAGAATGAGCAAATCAAAATTTTGAAAAAACTAACGAAAATTGCTAAAACCTCCCCTCAAAACGTTTATGCTTGCTATACTAAAGGAGTTCAAGAAAAGCTTTCATTTCTTGCCAGGACAACGCCTAACACTATGGAAAACTTAGAAATATGTGAAAATATTATCAAAGAACAATTATTACCTAACCTAGTCGGTAAAGACACTTTAAACCCCCAGTTCCGTGAGATATCTTCCTTACCCCTTAAAATGGGCGGACTTAACATCAAGCTGCCATCCGATCATGAAAGCTACCTAGAATGGTCTAAGGAAACATCACTGGAATCTCAAGATCCTATTACAGCAGTAACACAGCACGAAAAAACCTGAACGAAAATCAAAAAATTGAAAAATGATAGAACAAATCGAAAAAAGACAAAACTCATTAACTCCTTAAATGAAACAGATAAATACGCAATCGACCTGGCCTCTGAAAAGGGAGCCTCTAACTGGCTCAATGCTCTACCACTGAGCAGATACAACTTCAACCTGAATAAATCAGAGTTCAGAGATGGTATTTACTTAAGATACGGATGGGAACCAACCAAAACCCCATTCACATGTGCATGTGGTGCTGATTTTAACTTGACACATGCGCTTCACTGTGCAAAGGGTGGTTACACACACATAAGACACAATGAAATCAGAGACACATTCGCCAACCTCATGAACGAGGTTTGCCATGACGTCGAGATTGAGCCGAAACTTCAGCCGTTGCAAGGCGAAAGCTTTGTCAACAATTCAACTACAACTGAAGATGAGGCACGACTTGACATTAAGGCAAACGGACTCTGGGGTTCACGATTCAGCCGCGCTTTCTTTGATGTGAATATTTTCAACCCCCATGCCAAAACATAGCAAAAACTGCAGAAGGATGCATACAAATACCACGAAACGCTGAAGAACTCCAAATATCAGCAACGAATTTTAAACGTAGAGCAGAGTAGCTTCTGCCCGCTAATTTTTGGATGCACCGGTGGCGCTGCTCCAACAGCCACGC